AAGGCTGCTCGGCACACCTTCCGCGTTTACTTGAAATCTTTCACTGTTTTCTCCAAAATCTGTGATCGACCTTGGACCACGCCAATGCCCATATTTCTGCAATGACAGAAGCACCGGCCAGTGCGGTATTGAATGACGGAAATGACCATACGAAGAAGTCGAAGAAGAGGAGGCGAGAAGATATACTGAAAGACGCCGTCGGCAATGGCGATTTTGGCGGCAGCAAACCTTCCAAAGAGGAGCGGAGAGAGGCAAAAAGGCTGAAGAAATTGGGCGAAGAGCCAGGCGCTGGTCCAGAGACAGATGAGGTTCTGCAATTAAATGGCAACGTGGGTGAAGTCGAAAAAGCTGCCGCCAATGGAGACCAAAGCGAGAGCAAGCTCTCGAAAGAGGCGCGAAAGGAAGCAAGACGATTGAAAAAGCTGGCGAAGGAGCAGGAAAATGGTCATGCAGTAGCTGAACAACTGCCATCAAATAACAGCGTCAATGGAATAGACAAAGCTTCGGATAAAGCTACTCTGAAGGCGGAGAAGGCACGCTTGAAAGCGGAGAAGAAGTCAGCGAAGACGGAAAACACTGATGGTGGATCGCAACCAAATTCTACCAAAGGCACATTCGATTCAGGCTCGGGCTATGTGGAAGACCGGGTCCTCGCTGCGCTCCCCCAATCTGAAATCGACGACTTTCTCTCTACTAATTTCATCACAATCAGCGATCCAACCTCCTCAACCAATCTCCGCCCCATAACCCAGTTCTCCCATCTCCCCACTCACCACACCACTTCTCCGTCGCCCTTTACCGCCTTCAAAAGTCCGACCCCAATTCAATCAGCCGCCTGGCCCTTCCTTCTCTCGGGCCGCGACGTAATCGGCGTTGCAGAGACTGGCTCTGGCAAGACCCTCGCCTTCGGCGTCCCATGCATACGGTCTATAACTAGCTCATCCAGGACGAGAGGCTCACCAGCCAGAGCAGTCATTGTCTCCCCAACCCGCGAACTTGCCGCACAAATCCACACTCAGATGGAGACTCTCGCCTCCCCTGCCCACCTCTCCACCGTCTGTGTCTACGGCGGCGTTCCCAAAGACCCGCAACGCTTGGCCCTGAAAACCGCACACATAATCGTCGCTACCCCAGGCCGACTGAACGATCTTATAAACGAAGGCTCTGCCGATCTCAGCAATGTCAATTACGTGGTTCTCGACGAAGCAGACCGCATGCTCGACAAAGGCTTCGAAGAAGAAATCCGAAAAATCATCGCCACCACTCCCACAAAAGGCCGCCAGACCCTCATGTTCACAGCCACCTGGCCCCCTTCCGTCCGGGACCTGGCATCCACCTTCATGAAAACCCCCGTCCACATCTCCATCGGCGCCGACAACCCCACCGGCGAACTTCGCGCCAACACCAAAATCACCCAACTCGTCGAAGTCGTCGACCCGCGGCAGAAAGAGACGCGCCTCCTGCAACTCCTGAAACAACACCAAGGCGCCGGAGCCAAGAAGAACGACCGCATCTTGGTATTCTGCCTCTACAAAAAGGAAGCCGCGCGCATCGAAAGCTTCCTCAGCGCCCGCGGGATGAAAGCCGCCGGCATCCACGGCGACATGTCGCAGGACAAGCGCACCGCGTCCCTCTCGGCCTTCAAAACGGGCACCTGTCCCCTCCTCGTCGCCACCGACGTCGCCGCCCGCGGGCTCGACATCCCCGCCGTCAAGGCCGTCATCAACGTCACCTTCCCGCTCACGGTCGAGGACTACGTGCACCGCATCGGCCGCACGGGGCGCGCGGGCGCGGACGGGTTGGCCATCACGCTGTTCACGGAGCACGACAAGGCGCAGTCGGGGGCCTTGATCAACGTGTTGAGGGCGGCGGGGCAGGAGATCCCGGAGGAGCTGTTAAGGTTTGGGACGACGGTCAAGAAGAAGGGTCATGAGGCCTATGGGGCGTTTTATAAGGGTCCAGGCGTTGGGGGGAAGAAGGAGGGGACGAAGATTAAATTTGATTGATTGATGGTGTTGACGATTTGGCCAAGCATTGGAATCACATTTGCAATCGCCAGATGCACAGGTATATAGACGGCTGTTGGCAATGTTCTTGTATGAGCGTCTAGTTAGAGCAGTCGAACCGAATCAACGGTTGAATCTAGCTAGCTATGTTTCTTTGCACCAACATCGTCACCTCTTTTTGCGAATCGTCGTAGCATGGGAAACCTCTCAACCAACCCGTGCGGCACGAACTCCGAGAAGAAGTCCCGCTCGAACGTTACAACTCCAAGCACACACACACCAGCCACCAGCCCGCATCGGACCAATTCCCCCAAACCACCCTTATGCCGCGTCCCCGTCTCCGTAACCATGAGCGCCGCTCTCGCCGCAACCCCCATTGCCACAGTTCCCGTACGGGGCAACATATCTCTCAACGTCAAACCCTCCCCATCATTCACACTCCTCATATACCCCTGCACGAAGGCCCAACTCCACCAAATCCTCAGTCCCATCGTCACCGCATTCGCAACCACCAACCCCTTCGCACCCATCTCGAAGACCCTAAGTACCAGGAATCCCGTGCCAGCAAATGCGCCGAAAAAAGCGACCTTCCAGACAGTCTGCCTAGTGAGTTGTGGATCGGTAGCAACGACGCTGACGAAGGCTTCTAGGATGCCATTGATTGCGAGGAGAGGGATATAGTAGCAGTACGTGGCTAGTACGCCCGGAGCTTCTGTATGAGTCCAGCGGCTGCCGGCGACGAGGCGGAGCAGGATGGGGGCGAGGGGTGGGCCGAGACATGTGGCGAAGATGGAGAGGAGGAGGTAGAGCCGGAGGAGGGTAGTGAGGTGGTGTTTTGCTTGGGAGAGAACTGCGTTGTCTTTAGACTTGGGGGTGGTTTGAGAAGCCGGCAGACGGCCGAAGAGTGAGCGGGAGGATTCTTCTATTGGTTGGAGGATGATGCGGGCGAGGAGACCGCCGTAATTGGAAGCTAGGGCGTAAGCACCTTGGGAGGGGAGGGATGCGAATGTTGCGATGAGGTAGCCATCGCCGTATGTGAGTAGCTGGTTGAATATGTTTTGGCCATAGAGAGTTGCCGTCCGCATGATGAGAGGGCGGGAGAAGCGGGAGATGAAGTAGCCTGTGCTTGATGCAATGGGTGTAGCAAGGAGCGACACTGCGTTTTGGGCGCAGATAGGATAGACGTTTGAGAGGTAGAGAACATTGAGAGTGATGGCGTATCCAAGCTGGCCAGCGGCGAAGGGCAGAACGCCGAGATTACGGCCGCTCATGCCTACCCACATTGATATTGAACAGCTTATGATAGCCCTCGTGAAGAATGCCAGAAACTCGGCTGAAGCACGAGTTGCGTACATCATCTCTTGTCGGGCAACGTTGAATGAAGGCTCATTCAGAAGCTCAATGACTGTAGCAAGAGCGTAGATGTAGACTGAGCTCTCCAGGTGATGAGACTCGAGGACCGCTGTGCCGGCTTTCCGCAAGTACAGCCAGGTGAAAGCAACAGTCAACGGGAGACCAATGGCGATCGCTGCGTGCGAGAGATTGACAACCTCCTGCATCCTCCTAGTCGATCCATAGCTAATGGCTACGTTGCCAGAGCCCTTCTTCTTCTTCTCCCCTCCAACCCCTTCTGCGGTCTTTTTCTGTTCATCATCACTTGGTTTATATTGGAGTGCGTTGCGGAGACTCTCACGAGAAAAGTATAGCGTGGAGATGGAGAAAAGCTCTAATTGGGCAGAGAGCCCGAGGATATGAGGAGATAGAAAACGTAGCAAGACCTGGTTAACGATGAAGGTGAGGGCCCGGCATCCTATTTGGAGGAGGATAAGGAACGAAGCGCCCTTCACAGATTTAGAGGGAAGGGAGTCGAGGGTTGAAGTCTGTGTGACAGTCTTCTCCTTCACAACGTTAGTTTTGGCTTCTGACATGACCAGCACTGGATCGAGGAGAGATGGATACTTACCTTGAGGAAGAGGAAGTATCGCATAAGACGTGAAGAGAAAGTCCATTTGGCCTGTCGCGCATTTAAGATTGTCCTCGACTGAAGATATCGAGATCCCAGAAAACGACCTTTCATGAGAGCCTCGACGGCTTGCCTGACGATGACCGGTTACTTTCAGGAATGACGCGCTATTTCCTTCTAGATATAGTTTGATTACTTATCTAGCCTATTCTACAAATAATCTTCCCCTCTCGTCTCGCTATTTTGAGTCTCCATCAACTGATGCGCTTGGACGACTATCCTCCCTAGACGAACGTAAAGAGCAGAGCACCCCCGAAAGGGTAGCAAGGGTAGCAAGCCCGCCCCAGTGATACCCCCGGAGCTAGCGTCAACAATGCTGAAGTTACCCCCTCATACCCCAGAGACGCGTCAAGCTGCTTTCTCGTTAGACACACCTTACTGAATAGCTGAAGAATTCGACGCGTACTGGCCTTTGGTAGACAATTTCTAGATATGCAACCAACTACGCGAACCCACCAACAAACGAATCAGGCATCAGCTATCCTATTGGTGGTATCGTTTATATAAAGTAGAACCAGAAGTGCCACCGGGGTGGCACGCGCATGGAGGATACGGAGTAGATAGCACCCCGATGGATAGCCAAGAAACCCCTAATGAAACTCCTCTATAGCGACAAGCGAGGTGTCCCTGAACCCCCCATAGTAGACTGCCAACTCCGCTGTATCTCTTATACAAATTCCGCCCTGACAGGTAGTAATGTAGGCGGACTGCGATAGCTAGCCTGAAAGTCTTCCCCGCCCTATTCCCCGCCCCATTATAAGTGACAGCGAGGTCGCTGACGACGACAACGATGTCTCCGCGACGTCGCGCCTTATTTTGATGTGGCGCCCATACAAATATGGCGCAGCCACCCTGAAACTATGCTAACGGTATTTTATTTAGCATTGGCTGAGGTATAGAAGCACCCACGATGACCGGTTACTTTCAGGAATGACGCGCTATTTCCTTCTAGATATAGTTTGATTACTTATCTAGCCTATTCTACAAATAATCTTCCCCTTCGTCTTATTAGTCTCCATCAACTGATGCGCTTGGACGATATCCTCCCACGGGAATACCTTCTCCACTAGCACCTTGAAACTCCCGTCCTTCATCTTTGGAGCCACATGCTCGACCAGCGTGTTCCTAAGCTTCCCCTGATAATCTTCGTCCCGACTCCGCAAGCTACTTCCCTCAAACCTGATCCTCTTCCTTACAAAAGCTCCGATGTCCACGCCAGCAGGGAGTTTGGTGCCGCTCATGGCCCCTAGATTCACGATACGCCCGTCCCGTGCTGCAACTTCAAGGTTTCCTTGGAAGTAACTTTGGCCGATGAAATCAATGACGACGTCGACGCCTTTGCCATCTGTTGCTTTTAGGATCTCTTTCGCCCAGTCTTGCGTGTGATAATTGAAGCCAGCTGTTGCGCCGAGCTCTTTGATGCAAAAATCGATCTTCTCTTGAGATCCTGCAGTAACGTAGATTGCGGAAGCCTTATCGGCTTTTGACAGCTGGATTCCTGCTATTGACACTGACGATGCGCCGGCGTGCCATAATATCGACTTGCCTGGAGCGAAGCCGCCCACCAGGTACATGGCCTGAGTAGCTGTGATCCAGGTCTATATATACCGAAGCAAGCGGTCAGCGCCCTCGGCCCTACGTCAAACCGCAATCGGTGCACGAGAAAACTTGGTGACATACCTCGGGGACCCCAGCCGCCTGTTCCCAACTCAACTCCTTCGGCCTGTGCATCAACATATGCGTGCTTACAGCAATATACTCCGCGTACGCCCCTCCATACGCCAACCCAAAAACCTCGTCTCCCACGTTGAAACCCTGCTCCGCATCGCTTCCAAAGCTCTCAATCGTGCCCGAAAACTCGACGCCTAAAGTTTTGGGCGCTTGAGGTGGGACAGGGTAATGGCCTTCGCGTTGGAGTAAGTCCATACGATTGAGGCCGAAGCATTTTATTTTGACAATAGCATCGGTGGGTTTGGGTATAGGTTTTGGGGTGGAGGGGTTGATGAAGAGGGAAGTTGCGGGGCCGGTGCGGTTTTTGATGTCTATAATCTGGAGCGTTAGAGACAAGCGAAGATACACGGTTGAGGGAGGGTTTACTTGCCGACTGCTCGCATTGTTTCTGCCATTGCTGCAGCGCTTGCGGATCGGGATTTGCGAGATTGACCCTGAAGGACCTGTGGTAATGAGAGTATCAAACAAAAACAGGTGATAGGAGGGTCTATAATTGAATAGCCTGTGAAGCGAGTACAAATTGTGGTCGGGCCGTTCATAAGGATTCTGCATAGAATATGACCTCACCTCGCGGAAGTACAAATTTGAGCTCCGGGTAGCTAAAGGGAAAGGGATAACGAACTGCTCTTCATTATGGTAGGCACGGTAGGTTACACTGAAGCTAATGTCTGTACAGAGAATACATGACATCAGCAAAGATCGCTCTAACAGCGAGAGACCCGGCACGCTCGAGGTATTGAAAGCTGATACGCGCCAGATCGTCCTGATGGATCTCTTAAGTCATGCTGTACTCTTTGATCATCTGTGTCAGCTTCGTGCACTCGCTCGAATAATTTAGTGCGTTGGCTCCAGAAACCTGGTATCGCACCCTTCCCCGAAGTCAGCATTTGTTTTCCTCAGGCGAAATGGAACAAGTGCATACCTTTGCTGGTCCTGGAAACTGTCCATCTTCGCTCGGCATTTGAACATGAAAGTCTTGCAGTTTGCTTCTTGAAAAGCATCTCCAGCCGCCTTCTCGTCGTTCTCCTTCAGCTCCATCAACTGATCCGCGCTCATGCCCATAATCATCCTCCCTACGTCGTCGAAACAACTCAGCCAAAGTTGACCAGTGTAGTCGCTGACATTAATCGACATAATATATCGATACTCCGGCTTGGGATGAGCCTTATCACAGCGCTCGCATCGCCATTGTCCAGGCTCGACCTCGAGAACCTTTTTGTTGCAGCCTTCCGACAGACACGCAGGATATGAGACGTTGTCCTGCTTCACGTAAATGATCGTCGCCTTTGTAGTGAAGTAATCCGTGTTTTCTGACATGCCGAGGTTCTCTTCCTTGACCTGCATAATTGACTTCGTCGCCTCGTTTCGTCCACCAGCTGCGCCCACAGAGCCCATCCCTTGATGAGACATGAATGTATCATTCTTGCCTTGAGCGTCATACCAACCTTTGAGTTTGTGGGCTTCATCTATATCCGGGTCTATTGTCATAGATCCTGACATGAGCAGACTCAAGCTTCGGCCTCCAAAATCAGAAACTTTGAGGCCTTTGAAAGCAACAACAGACTCGGGCATCACGTCGAACTTTTGGGCCGTATCACCCCATATCGTTAGTTTCACAGAGTACCCGGTATTATCAACAAGGGTGAGATCGCGCTTGTCGTACGGCTTGCTTGTAGTCTTGGAGATGATCTGGGAAGTCTCTCCGACCTCTTTGAGGACACCAATTGTATCGATAGTTGTGTCTTTTTCGACGGTTTGGAGATCGGCGATGTTGGTGAAGTTGAAGCGTATCTGCGGAACACCGTTTTGCTCCTCGGCCTTTTCAACCAGCGTATCACGCTCGAAGGATAGCTCGTAATCGTTGTTGACGTTCGAGAATTGCTTCTTGGCCATGTTGACTCGACAAGGACTGGTAATGTAGTAGACTTGACCCTCCTGGAAAACATCAAATAGCGCATCGCATTGATCATTGAACCCAGTAGCCTTAATCTCCCCGCTCTCGTCCAGCAGGTTGACACTGAAGAGTTTTCCCTCGCCGTTTTTGTTATGCCATGTCCTGATGGGAGGCTTGCTGGTACACCGAGCCTTGATAGTCCATTTATGTGCGTATGGAGACAGTGCCTCGATTGGATAGATGGTGGCGTGTGAAGCTGATGAGGTTGCGTTTGTCCTCGAGGGTAGAGATTGCTGCTGGTTTTGTTGCTGAGCTGGCTTGTTTCCGTAGAATCCATTGGTGGCAATAGTGGTTGATTGCGGCTTGGTGTCATCTTCTGCCTTGAATTCCAATGCCTTCGGTTCGCCGATCTTATCACATTCTCCAAGCTCTTGTAGGACGTCGAGATCAAGGACTATAATAATTCTATACAGTATGAGCATTAGCTTGCAAGAAGCAGGTACCAGATTTTCACCTTTTCCCCTTCACCTGATTCGCCTGGTATGACTTTAACTTTACGAAACAGCCTTTCCGAAGCTTGCCATCATGAACCACATGGTTTGCTTCTATATTTCATCAGTATGCCCTACTTTAACGAGATCCTAAGTAGTAGAGCTGCGGGTGCTTACGAGTGGCAAGCATGCTCTGCACGAAATTGTTGATATCGCTGAAAACAACTCTGAAGCGCTCTGGAGCGCCTTGCTGTCCAACCAAAGGCTTGACTTGGACACATTGCAGTGTTGGTTGCGATACAGCGGTATTAGGATCCACGCTGGAGTTGAATATTGCACTGACGACGTAAGTATTTAGTGCATCAGGAACGCATTCATGTCACTTACGCAAGAGAGCCTTGGTCGACATGAGAAGCTGCGTTGGCCGCCATGGAGGTAGACTATCAATGATATGAAGGCGGTAATCGAAAGACTTGTGAAATACCCGAGTATTCTGAGTATGGGAAGAATTCTGAGGTTGACGCGTTGTTTGTTAGAAACGTGTAAAGAGGTTTCGTGTTTTGCCCCACTTGCACTTGCCGGGTTTGTTGGCCACCGTACATTCTATTACGGCGGGCCAGGCCACTACTTCTCCTCACTTAGATACCACTTGTACCTTTTGGCGGCTTGACTTTCATTACTTTCGTTATGGCTGACGACGATGTTGCCACAAGGGCACCGGAGAGTGATGCAAAGGAGCCCAGCATGATGTCCTCTGAAGATACGCCAGCCCAAAAAGGGGCGAGCATGGGAGTATGTTACGCAGGTCCTCATAGCTAATCAGCCGCTGACCTGAAGCAACCAGGAGCACTGCGTGACAGATCGACCTTCTCGTACGTATTTCTACGTTCCCATCTTACAGTCCTCTTTCGCTGAACGCAAAGTAGCTCTTGGGGATCAGCAGCCAAGTGGTGTGGGTCTGAAAGCTTGAGGGCAGCCATTGGAAGAGAAGCTTACTATGATCAAAGGAGATATCGAAGATTGCAGATGTGGAGGTGCTTCCAGTCAGACATCAAAGACCACCGCGATCATGTGCTGATATGAGCGTCAGGTCTACATTACAAAACCTAGCGACTACCCTCATCTCCCGTCCAAGCTTCTGCTCTTTCTGAGCAGTGGTACCGGCATACACTCCAAGAACAATCAGCTTCAAGCAGACAAGTATGCCAGCGAGGGTTTCCTGGTGGTCATGCCCGACCAGTATGTACCAGTTCCCCAACAAAAGGTGGCCCTCTGTTGACAGCCTTAAGATTTGCTGGAGACCCTGCACCCAACAGTGCAACAGATCCAAATGCCGATGAACAGAATCCGTCCGTGATCGAGAGAGTCAAGCTGGGTTTCGCAACTACAGCTAAATCCTTCATGGTAGACATGTGGCTGGCCAGACAGACGCCGGAGAAGGTCCTTCCTGTGTTACGGAAGGTGGTCGAGGGTGCAAAAGAGGAATTTGCAGATGCAGTTGCCAATGGAGGAGGTGTCTACGCTGTTGGCTATTGTTTCGGGGGGAAATATGTCTGTCTGCTAGCCGCCGAATTGCCCGACTCCGCTGCTCACGGTCAGGCACCGCCGAAAGATGAAGAAGCTGGGATGGCGAAAGTAGAGCCACTGATCAAAGCGGGAGCTCTAGCTCATGGCACACTAATAACGACAGATGATCTCGAAGCCATCAGATCACCCATATCAATGGCTTGCGTGGAGAACGACCAGCTATTCCCAGACGACGTCCGGACTGCAGGTCAAACATATCTGGAGGAGAACAAGGTCAAGCACGAAGTCAGAGTCTACTCGGGTGTGCCTCATGGCTTTGCTGTTGTAGGGGAGTACGAGGATCCGAAGATTCAAGAGGCGCAGAAAGAGGCTTTTGAGCAAATGGTTGAGTGGATCAAGTCTCATTAGATGTTCAGCTTTCATTTATGGCTTGCTTCGGAGTATCATGTTCTATACCCAACAAGATACGAATAATGAAAGTGAATACTGTTGTGCCGGCAGTCTTGAAACCATGTCAGGAAGCAGTCCTGCCCGATAGACAGAACGAATGCCTTCATGCCCGAGTATATATCAGAAACTACATGTAGATATCCATAAACCCTAATCTAATCAGTAGTACTTGGCGAAGCGAAGTAAACAGGCGGGTGTGTTGCCGTCTTACAAAACAATACACAGCGGATTCTTACCTATTTGCTCGTGATGTTGTGAGCATAGTCTCCAAAAATACCAGACTTGTCACAAAGAACCCGGAGCTATGGCCTGCAGGCATATTGACGCAGCTGGTAACAGACCCTATGATAGTGCTCGCGGACATGGTACTGACACCATCCAGAGCTGCGCCCTCCCACGGCTGCTCAGTCGGTCTACAGAGAAGATTGTACGCAATGTTTTGATTCCATAGTACGGCCCCAACGCCATGATTTGGTCGCACAGCTCTGTCTGACGCGCCCAGGATGATGCAACGGGACTGAATGTATGCCTGTCCTGCTTCAACGGAGGATGCACTGGAGAACGGGACCATGCGCATTTACACAGCCAGAACTCGAAGCATCCGTTGGTGCTGAACATACAAAGAACGAAAAAGAAAATCAAGCGCGATGAGCCACCCCAGAAGATCTCGAAGCTCGCGATAGCAGCAGAAACCGAGGAGGACCGTTACGATACCGACACTCGTGTCGAGTGCTACGAATGTGGGGTGAAGAATGTGGATAGAACAAGTGGAAAGCTGCCGGGGATCATAGATGGTGTTCTCAAGGCCAACACATTCGCACGACAGGCAGAAGTACAAGCATGGGAGCAAGAATACACAGCATGTGAACATACATTATGCTTAGAACAAGAACAATCTCGGAACATCGATTCTCAGGGTAGGTCTAGGAACAGGATTTTTGGTCCCGGTGCTGACGGATCTTTTAGATTTGGGACACTGCTCTATGTGTGATTTGAAAGAGAACTTATGGTTGTGTCTTCAGTGTGGGAATCTGGGCTGCGGTCGTGCTCAATATGGGGGCGTAGGCGGAAATGGTCACGGCCTCAAGCACACAGAGCTGGCTTCTCATGCCGTAGCAGTCAAATTAGGATCTATCACGCCGGAAGGAACGGCAGACATATACTGCTACGCGTGCGATGAGGAGCGTACGGATCCGGAGCTTGCCCAGCACCTTGCTCACTGGGGGATCAACATCGCCGAGCGAGAGAAGACTGAGAAGAGTCTTACGGAGATGCAGATCGAGCAGAATCTTAAGTGGGACTTCTCCATGACTACTGAGGATGGCAAGGAACTCAGCCCACTCTTTGGCAGTGGTTTCACTGGCCTAAAGAATCTGGGTAACAGCTGTTATTTAGCCAGCATACTACAATGTCTTTTCACCATGTCCAGCTTTCAGAACCGTTACTATCATCCACAGGATCCTCCACCGATAGCACAAGCTCCTGCGGAAGACCTCGAGACCCAGTTGAGAAAGTTAGCGGATGGTCTGCTGTCGGGTCGCTATTCGCATCCGGACACGGATGTTGTTGCTTCGGAGTATTCTGCCGAAATTCCTAACCAGAAAGGTCTTGCACCTGCTATGCTCAAACACCTCATCGGACGAGGCCATGAGGAGTTTTCCACCATGCGCCAACAAGATGCTTTTGAGCTCCTCCTTCACCTTCTCAAGCTCATTACTCGCTCCTCGCACACCGCGCCCCTTCAAGATCCGGTTCATTCTTTCCGCTTTGTTATGGAACAACGACTGCAATGTATATCTTGCGAAAAGATTCGATATCGAACGGACGAGCAAGACAACATCTCCATTCCGGTTCCAGTCAGACGAAAGCCTTCGGTCGCCAATGGCGCTGCGGATAGCGAAAAGCCAAAGGATGAATTCGAACCTGTCAGTCTTAAAGAGTGTCTAGATACCTTCACAGCTGCCGAAGTTGTAGAGCTTACATGCCCTTCGTGTGCTAGTAAAGACGGCTTCACTAAACGCTCGCTCTTCAAGACTTTCCCGGCCACTCTTGCAGTCAACGCCCGGCGATTCGAACTTGTCAATTGGGTACCAACGAAGCTCGATGTGCCAGTCGTAGTAGGTGATCAACCCTTTGATCTAGGCGACTACAAGTCTCCAGGACATCAAGATAACGAAGAGCTCCTGCCTGAAGATGTAACTGCTACCGGCGCGCCAGCATTCGCTCCCAATGAGACTGCAGTTTCTCAACTCGAAGGGATGGGCTTCCCACGAGTGCGATGCGAGAAAGCACTGCACGCTACCGGCAACACTGACTCTGAAACAGCAATGAACTGGTTGTTCACACATATGGAAGACCCCGATATCGATGAACCCCTCAACCTAGGTGGTTCGGGCAGCGGCGGTGGGGCTTCCGCGGGCATCAGCCCGGAGAGCATTGAAATGCTGGGAGCCATGGGAATCGGAGCCCCGCAGGCACGTAAGGCGTTGAAGGAAACAGGCGGAGACATTGAAAGAGCAGTGGACTGGGTGTTCAGTCATCCGGATGATCAGGGTGATTTTGGTGGGGATGATGCTGCAACAGATGTCCCCGCCCCAGAAGGTGAAAAGGCAATGGCTGGCAATACAGATCTGCCTGCGAACTTTCGTTTGCAGAGCATTGTCTGCCATAAAGGGGCGAGTATCCATGCAGGGTGAGTCACCTTTTCCAACCACTCTTCTGACTCCTTGAGTCTCACAAGCGAGGACGATCGTGGCTAACGACCAATGATCTACAGACACTACGTCGCGTTCATACGCAAACCGATTCCTGCTAAAGAAGGTGGGGGTGAGTCCTGGGTCCTATTCAACGACGAGAAAGTGGTCAAAGCCCAGGGAGATGTGGACGAAATGAAAAAGTTTGCCTACGTCTACTTCTTTGAGAGAGTATGAGACTTGTGCTCAGTCCAAGGGAATCGAGAGTGCCAATCATGCATGCATAGTCCAGAAGCGGGACAGAACTGTTCAACTAAAAAAGGAGGTTTAAGAAAAGCATCACGGCAAAGCCGCGTGCATCCCCTGGCGTCATGATAGCATAGCGTACATAGATAACGGTGATAGACGGTCTGCATGAGTACTGAAAGACAGCAAATACATACTCGGACTCAGACTCGAATTGACGTTCCAAGTATTGCAGAGAGGTTGGCAAACAAACAGAAACAGCAGCACTACCACCAGACAGCGTTAAAGGCCTTTCACTATAAACCTGAGGTGCTGGCAAACTGCACCAACAAAGCTGGTATCGATGAGCAGAGGGCATTACTCAGCCATGTGAGGTGAGTGAGATGTGCGGACAAGCACCTGACCTAAGTAAGGTCTTCAGGACTTAGAAGCCGGCAAAACCTACAAACCTATTATGGAGGAGCGGTCGTACGCCACAATAAGGCGTCTGTGATGAAGTAAAGTACTCTCATTTTCTGTTCCGAATTCTTTACCTTAGCTAACAGACATAATCTCATACAAATGCTCTACCCACGTCGTCCAAGGGTCCTACCGCTGCAAGCAAAGCACACGAAGCGGTCTGACTAAGGACAAGAACTAACTAAGTCGCTCAGTCGAGAAGTCGTCAGTGGGAAGAAAGCCGAACTGGATCTACGACTTCAAACATGGCTTTCTGTGAACTCCCGAACTCATCCTGTATGATCTGTTCGAGAAGTTTGGGGTATGTCCCCCAACCTTGCTGCCAACGGACATCCTCCGGGACCAGCATCGCAAGCGCAGGCGGAATTCGAGGTACAGTGTTGAAGCCTTCTGTATTGTCAGCCAGATAGTATTCCGGTGCCCTCTTAAAAACCGTTGCAGATTTATAGACAGTGCCTTTTGTTCCTATGGTTTCCTCGAGGGAGATAGTGTTAATACGCTGGACGTGGGCGGTCGAGAGAGCGAAGAGCGGGAATTTGAAGGCGTGTTTGTGTCGAGCTATCCTGGTAGGCTTCAGCACCGCTTTCCCGTTTACCACTGTAGCGAAATTGTGGCAGCGATGCCAACTGGCAAGTCTTCCAGGTAAGAGCCGGCATTGGAGGGGTTGAGATACCTCATCTTGTGTGCCTCATACATCTGGCGCGTGGCTCTATCATTCTCTTCAATCCCGGTGCAAAGCATAGTGATCCTTGTCAGTAGCACGATCTTAGGTGAGACAGGCGCAAACAGATGGTAGTCCGACCATCTGTTTCCGTTCTTCGGTTCTTCGAAGATGCTGTAGGCATTCTGTGTCATGAGAAACTCGTCATCATGATCCTGGGTACTACAGATTGATAATTAATACCACTCCAGATATTTGTGAAATTAAATAGCATCCGGTGGATATGCCTTGGTCTTCAGGTCTTCGAACCACTTGTGAGGCTCTCGCTCAAAATCGATCGCCAAAAAAGCATGTATGTTCAAGAACCATACAACTTTAAGCTTTTCGAATTGATTCTCCTTTTTCTATGATTGTATTTCCTCCCGATCATCCGAGTCGTAGTCATCGACGCAGCTTTTGAACCAATCATGAAATTTCCGGTTACGATACACCATGATGAAAAGAAACCTCCGTTATAGACTCTTTTCCCCGCGCAGAAGATGCACTTGGAGTTTCTTGTCTTTTGCCTTATCTTTGTTTACAACATACCTGATTTGGTCAGAGTGTACTTTAGCAGCCGGTTCGAGAAGAGAAAGCTCCTTCTCGAAGTTGTGTTGATCTGATTCAACTGCATTGAAGTTCCAGTACATATCCTGGCAGCCGAAGGTACGAGAAGCGTCTCTGGTCTCCAAAAGGCATTATTCTAAATTCAGCCATAACACCGGCAACGCGGATGAATTCTCTACCTTCAAACTATCGCCAATCTATGTTTATTGAAGCGGTACACTCGCTCCAAATTGCTTCTTCTACGCTTCGCAAGTCCTATAACAAATGCAGTTACCAAAAAACGTTTCTTGATCAAAAGGTCGGGACAGCTCGAGAATCCGGCTGTCGGATACCACATCATCCTCATGAACCAGCGCCAATACATCTTACCCCGAAAGTTTTCACCACTCTCATCTTCCCAAGTATCATCATGTCCAAGCCAAGATTCATCTGCACTCTCTTCATCTCGCTTCCAGCGGTCTTCCTCGCCCTTATCCCGTGCATCTCAGCGGCAGCAGCACCAACCATCAACATCATCCAAACCCCAACAACGCCAGGTCTAAACAGTTCTTCAAACTCCAATCCGCCCAGACTTACAGTACAGATCGATGCCACGCACAGGCTCTCCCTAACCGAGTACGCTTACCGCGAACCGGCGCGCGATTTCCTGGCCGCTGTGGTCGGCACAACGGCTAGCAACTTCGATGACTACCACCAACGCAGAGAAGAATTCCGCGAAAGGGGTAGCTTCGAATATGACAACTACGGTGTGCACCTTTGGTTTGATAATGTTTTGGGGCTGTTGACGTAAATTTTGGCGAATGAGATGTTCGAAAGGAGTATGTGTACGGCAACGTTTGAGCTTTGGGAGATCCAAGGGAGGGGGACCAGATCGATCAGTTATGGTCAGATTGTCTGGAGCCCCATGGTAGGAACGAATGCGACGGGTGTGGGTAAATAGTGAGAGAGGCTGTTAGAACGGGGGTTTCGCTTGAGTGGATGAGGGACGTGGGAAAATGGTTTGTAGATCAAACCCTGCTTCAAAGAAGACAGTCACCGCGCGGAAGCACATGTCAACAGATTTCGATCCAGAGAATTTGAACCAAGGAGACCCTTGCATCAAGCCACCTTTTCCCACCATCTGATTCTTCTTCGCCCCGTAGAGCCTGGATCACCTGCACTTCGCTCTATTAATTCCATTTTTAAGAAGTCTTTCTCGGGAATTCATCCAGCTTCTGGCGACGAACCCTTTAGATATCCAAGAGCCCAAACGCGGCTTCAACAGCGGCCACGGTAGCGCTCTTGACATTCAGGAACGTCAAAGCGACAGCGCGTGCCTGGGCTGTGTGTGTATGTGTCTCCCACGCGGAGAACGTTTTAGCTGGAAAACGAGGAGGATGAGTTGTTACATCAGTCGGAGCATATTACGTTCTTCAGACGGGCGCCCATTATCAAAGTCCAGCTTCCCAATTCAAGCCTATTGGCTGCAGGGGTATTATTCCCAAAACCACCCCTGTTCCCTGACCGCAGCGCAAAGCTCTGTACGGAATATTGGCGACAGGAAACCCGCCGTCTTTGTGACCACTACTGCTCAGATGGCGAGTCTGCGAGTCATAGAACAGTTGAATATATATGTGGAATACTGCATAATTGAAACGGTACATTAGCCTGGGCTCTAATTCCCCATTTTCAACTCCGCTGCATCCCACACTCTGACCCATTGTCAAAAATATTTTCAACCGCCTTCTCAAGTCTTGTCTCGAGCCCCATTCTCAAGTCTTGTTTCGAGCACGATTCTCAAGTCCAGTCTTGAGCTCATTTCCACCAGCTTTCTTGGAGTTGAGACAGACATCGATGGGGCTATCGTCCTTGTTGCGGATATAGTAACTGGGATCCCCCCCGGGTCTCGCCTCCGCCGAGCTGTGCCCGTTGCCAAGATACTCAAACCGGTTCCTGTTCGGCATGTAGGAAAAATTCCAATCCTCCCAGCGAGGAGACTCGAGCGTTTCCAAAAAGTGGAGACTCGACCCAGGCCAGAGTGCGGCGACTTTGCCAGAAATGCTACCGGCCTTGTACCATGAGCGGCATTCTTCCGTCCAGACTGGAGGTCGGCGGGCCAAGTCAGCGGGACGAGCAAGATATTTGAATACGAAAGGGATGTGTGAAGGGATGGAGACTGACCCATGTTGCTCATGAAGGCATCTTTCCACTCGTTAAAGTCCGCCACCGCTTCGGCTTTGACATCGAAAGACCTACGTCACGATGTGTTCCATTAGAATTGAGCTCTTTCTTCGGGGTCTTCGAGAAAAATGGAAAGACAAACCGGATGTTCTCTTTCTGAAACTTGGACATGAACTTGATCATATAATCAACTTCTGCCTCAACACAGATGAGCAGTGGTCCATTGCCAATGGGGCTATTGGGCCCAAGCGTCATGAAGTAGTTTGGATAATTGTTCACCGCCAGTCCCATATATCCGGCAGGCTCCTCTGATCAATGAGGGTTAGCCAGTGATTTGGGGGTCTACCAGGAACAAAAACATCTTTTTTCTTGACGCACCTTTCCACTCGTCACTCAACGGTGTCTTGGTCGTGCCTAGAAGAGGGAATCGCGGTCTGTATGTTGTATCAAATCCAGTAGCACAGATGAGGACATCGACAGGGTACTCGTCTCCGGTCTCGCATACGACCCCTGCCTCTGTACAATGCGTAATGTTGCCAAAGACGGTAGTAACGTTTGGAGCAGTGAGAGATTCAAGGTAATCAACCCCCGGTGTAAGGCGGCGACACCCAACGCTCCATGAAGGGATCAAAAGTTTCTCAAGGTCTTTGTTTGCCAGCCTGGCTTCCATTAACGATTGCATGTACTGACGTGATTTCGCTTGCGCCTCGGAGCCGGCGTAGAATTGGGCGAATACGCCGCTGATCCCTTTCTCTATCTCCCGTCGGGTCTGGAGGTGATACTCCGGATCTCTGGCGAATCGATCTCGGTCTTCATCAGTGTACTCCTCGTAACCTTGGCCGAAGGGTGGTGAGATCCACGTTGCCTCTCGAATAAAGGTGACTAAGTGCTTGACCTCGTTCTTGATGGACGGCAGGATTTGTATACCCGATGATCTGGAAGGAGGCGGAACCCGTTCAGTAGTTCTCCGCACCCTTGCTGAGATCCACTCACCCATTGCCGATCAATCCGACGACTTTGCCTTTGATGTCGACATCCTCGCCCCAGGCTGCGCTGTGAACCAGCTGCCCTTTATAGTCCTTGAGACCAGGGACTGCTGGCCATTGCCAGGCGTTGAGAATACCACCAGCATTGACAAGTATATGGCAAGACGTCTCAGTGATTTCCTTGGTGATAGTATTCTCCGCTTTCACACGCCATTTTGCAATGCTTTTGTCCCAAGTTGCAGCGATGACCTTATTGTTCACCTTAATGAATCTATCCAGGCCATACCTGGTGGAGAAATCTTTGAAGTATTGATATATTTCCTTCGCAGTAGCATAGCTTGCTGACCAGTCGGTCTTGGGTTCGAAGGACCAGGTATAAGAGTGCGAAGGAACATCACACGCACACCTGAAAGAATGCATTAGCATGGTTTATCAAGTTCCCATAGTTAGCTAGATTCCAAAACTTGAGCATTGACTGGGGGCTAGGGAAAACGTGCCCAGGGTATCTGTTTTCAAACCATGTACCACCAACATCAGCATTCTTCTCAAAGACTTGCAGGTCAAAATCACTGAAATGGCGTTGAATCTTGTAGGTCAGAAGTAGGCCAGAAGCGCCCGCACCGACGCAGACGACCTTCAGCTTGCGTAGAGGCTCAAAGATAGGTTCTGTTGACCTGCCGTTCTGCCCGCCAGAGGCCATGGATGCAGGTATGGTCAAATGATTTGTCTGCCGTCTATATCGATATTCGAGACTCGCTGTTGACCTGGATGCCGGTGTTGGTTTTGTGGGGAAATGCTAAATAATACCACATTGGCTTCGGATGTGCATCGGTATCCGTTATATCCGCCAACACAGATTTGCATCATCACGCAGCTGCTTACTACTGCTCGGGTCGAGCACAGCCAATACTCAGATAACGCCAGAGAATCCCCACCTTTTAATCCCGGATGAGCACTGACGACAACGTACCGTGTCCAGAATCGATATTTCGAAATCACGAGTACGCTCACCCAGCCCGTAATGCCAGCTTTGAAATCCCGAGCTCAGATCTAGACTCCAGCAGAGTTCTGCCAGAGCTCAACGAGCTCAGCAAAGGACCGAACGTTTGAACCACTGCACCTTCTGATCAATTGACCTCTAAGAACGCTTAGTCACTTGCCAACAATTACCCTCCTGGCACGAATCTACTCCTCGAGAAAGCCACTAGGATTCAGACGTCAAAAGCGAAAATGTGACGCCCATAGATCGAATCGAACCGCCGCCTGGAGGAGTTGTCAGGTTCAGAGCAGTTAGATGGACGCACACGCTGACTTTCACCGCTTTCTAGGAACCAGTGTTTGGATCCCCACTTCGGGTTATGCACCGCTGTGCTTTCGCGGCACCATATAAGCGGTGACGATTAAGTTGATAGAGGTGGTAGCTATAGACCTTCGTTACAATGGCAGGGTTTCTTAGCGGTGCGAGGCTGCAAGTCCTGTCAAACGGTGACTCTCGATATAAAAGGTCAAATATGCAAGTCTCGAGCCAGTATTGCTATTTCTCGCTGTAGTTTGCTAGAATACACTTTGCTCAAGCAAGCAAGCCGGAAGGGGCTACATCTTCTCGTAAGTAGCCATAAGGGAGCCTGTAATCCTAAGTCAGCAACTTTGATCCCTGTAAAGAGAAGGAAGACCACTCACCAATAAAGGTAACGACAAGTCTACTCCGCACCTGACAAATATCCTCTGGCACAAGCCAGATGGTCGCGCCCATCTTCCTGGCAATACTTATCGCCAACTTAGCATTCGCATAAGCCTCCTCGTCATTCTTCCCGCTCGTCACGAGGTCGTAGTCCACATAGCTACTCTTCATGCCATTTAGTACATCCAGCAAGAATACACCACTGCCAATTGCCTGGTCCTTGAAGCTGCGTATGCTGCTGTTGCGGCCGCCTTTCTTTGATTGCTCGTTTGCCCATTTAACCATCTCGGCGTCCGTAATCTCACGCTTGCCAAGTCGTTGAGCGAGTGCAGAAAGAGTTTCGGAGATGTCACGACGCATAAGTTGCCATACTAGACCGAGGGTCAGTGTGCGCTGACCGTCGGTGATATCTGCGCCTTGCACGCCAACAAGGGAGAAGTGCATTTGTTTGCCAAGCTCAATAGCGTAATTGGTGTTTTCGACTGCTTTGAAGCGCATCACCTCGCCGCCTGATGCTGGAGGCTTGTTCACGTGGCGCCAATTAACGCTTCCAGGGACGACTTTGTCGTAAGCTTGGAGGAGTATGCTGCCGTCACGAAGGTTATCGAAGAAGGAGTTAACGGCTGGTTGGACATCAAGGGAGTTAAGCCATAGCGTGAAGACACGGGCTTCGCGTTCACCTTCTGCATCGAAGTCTTCCACTTCGAGCTTTTCCTCTTCGGTGATGGGGTCGAGGCCTGGGTGGGTGTTGAATAGGTTGGCGACGAAGGCAAGGTTGAGCTTGGGGTTTCCAGCTACAAGGGATTTTGGGGACAAGAATTTGCGGCAATCGAGTCTATCAGCATTTTGAAGGACTTGCTCGGCACGCTGAAGGAGGTCGCGGGTTTGGAGAGGGCTGCGGCTGCAGATGTCGGGGGCTAGTTGGTTGAGGAGCACCGTGTAATTATCGCCTTCTTTGACATCGGTAGAGAAGTTGGTTACTCTGAAAGTAAAATAAGCCAAATTGCACGAGCCGGGTAATGAATAGCATACCTCTTGTCCCATTTGGCGTTTTTCAGGTGATAATTGAACCATCGCAGCAGAATTTTCTCCGGAGGTAATCTCAAGAACTGCTCCAGCGTCTCGTCCTCTTCCAGAAGTCGGTATAGCTCGGGATGTAGCTTGATGTCAATTTTTCCCAGCAACCCTCGCCGAATAACCTGCCAGATGAGACCTAATATCAGATGCTCCCGTACTTCGATGATATCCCCACTGCCTATATTGACCACCGAACATCCGATGCCCTTTGCTGAGTTGATGACAATGTTATTGTTTTCGGTCATGTGGAATGCGTTCAGAGTCTTGATCTTTTTCCCAGGTCTGTTCAATACACGCTCATCAATCGTATCCGGCACGCTATCATTGATGAGCTTCGCCAGTACCAGCCCATCTTTGCAGTCGTCAAACATCTCAAAGGTATCGGTAGGGAATGGCAGGCGGTGTCCGATATCTGGATCTCCAGCCAGCACCGCGTTGATGTGTCTTGTAAACTCCGTCCGCTCATCCTCATTTATTGTGTGTGTGACATTGGCCGAAGAGCCCTGAACCTGTATCCTTCCCCCAACACTGCTCTTAGATTGATGTCCCGGTATAGGCGCTGGTCTGCTACCTTCTGCGGCACTGCTCATACCCCTAACTCGGCCGCTTGGTATATTGTTCTGGGCTGGCGCTGCCTGCTGGCCGCGGACTTTGGATATGAGCTAGAGCACGAAGCTAGTCAGCTTATCGTTCAGTCCATTATTTCCTTCTCTGAATTGCCAGTCTGTCCCAGTTCAGACGTACATCGACATAGTCGTCCAGCTCTACCCTCCTCGAGCTGTCCAGCTCCACCTCTTTAAGCGCTGACCTAACCACATCATATGGCTGCCTCTCCGACGTCTGTGTTGCCTTTATTACCGTAGCCTCATCTATGTATCCCTTGTCATCGACATCCAGCTTGCGAAAGGCATCTTGTAGGCCGAATATGTCTTGTTGTTGGAATTGAGGGTATTTTCTGTTGCAGAAACGTCAGCATGCGCTGTTGGGCCAAGACGTCTTGATTGGAGGTGAAATGTAGGTTCACGCTATTAAGATATCTCTTACCTTTGTAATTTTATGACGTTCATGACTGAAGTTGTGAAAGTGGTAAAGCAATACTCTGATGAGGCTGGGCACGAATAGTTTTCTTGGATATAACTTAGAGCGGAAGGCGCGGGGAACAATTCAACCAAAGCCGCTGCCTGATGGTGGAACGACTCAGCCACGCAGGCAATTAATACTGTTGGTTATGGAGATCTAGGCAGCCCACGGCCTCGATAATTATTCCACCTATGACACGCGGAGTTGACGTAGAGTGGGGCAAAATTCGCATTTGGGCATCATTGGGAAACCACACCTATTTCTCAGGACTGGTGCAAGTCTTTCGTGAAACTTCAACCGTGTGCGGTCATGCTCTTTTACTATCCTAACATACGACGCCTATGCAACGCAATTACAGTCGTACAGCAGGAGAAAAAGAAGGGAACGCCGCAGCCTGATGAGCTGAAATAAGCTAGAGACCTGCATGCATGGGCGAGGCTGTAGACACCTCCAACGTCGACAGCAATGTCGAACACTAATAGACATCGTCTTCCAAATGGATCGAGATGCCTGGGAAACCTTCATAGCCACTCGAAGAGATGGCTTCACAAGGAGCCAGGGATATGGCTCTCCTGACTCGCGGACAGCTGAAATGGCACGGGAATTCTTGCTTGGTGGTCAACCTGCTCTTCGGAGCAGCTGAAGATCCTCCGTTGTCGATCCAGATGATGGTGCCCCTAGAATCCAGGGATACCGCTCGCCTGACTCGCAAACAGCTGGAATAGCACTGCAATTTTTGCATGGTGATCGAACGACCCACAATCAAGGCGTCCGGGAACCCTCCCTTGCCAACCGAACAGATGTCTATCCCAGAAGCCAAGGACACCGACCTCCTGACACGCGAACAAATGGAATGACCCAGGATTTACACCTTAATGAAGGACCAACCCCCAGTCGAAGCACTGCAAACTTTGAGCTCGAGTCATTCGTGAAGCCGTCGCAATACACCCGCCATTGACACCGTCGAAAGTCTCTCAAAGATGAGAGAAAGGAGAGCAACGGTTGAATAACGATGAACATCTTAACCGGCCTCTGACAGACCGAGAAATGCGGAGCTCGCCGCAAGCGTCCCTCCCTTCGTGGGTCTCTCGTATCGAAGGTCGGGACGATCTCACAGTGACGGTCAGCAACGCTGCCGCGGAAGACAACAATCACAAAATTCGATTTGGAGGTTGTTGGACGCTTCTCGAGAGCGAGGGAATGAGCTTTTGGGCATTCAATGCTCGAGTCATGCAGGTATTCTACACCCCACTCGTCATCGTCCGGTCTGAATTATACCGGGGCTCAAGTAGTACGCACTGAACATAAACAGGCTCCCGGTCTCGACGACGTCGATCTCCAGGAACCGGTTTTTGATCTCTTGATTAAGGTCCAGAAAACGTGCGAGCAAAAATTAGTACATGGACGCTACCTCGACCCCATGCTCTGAAGTGTGTTGACGAAGATCTGGAGTCAAAAACTGCGATCTTTGTCAGCTTGCCTGCTTTCTTGACTGAGTGTCCCAGAATGCATACTACATCCAGAGATCTCGAAGGTGATCCCGTACGCGCTCTATTGCAGTCACGCTATCCTCTAGAATCTACCGACCGCCGTGATAAGATGCAGGTTATCACGCATCATTCTGATGTAGATCACGTAGTGATAGTTCCTTAGATTTGGGCTCTTGTGATCAACAATCACACTGTAATCACGTGCGCGCCTCTCAAGATATTCGTTTTGCTAAGAGAGACGATCAAGATTAAGCCATATTAGAACGCTTCAGCGAATACAGCGACTGGGTCTTTTTTCTTTTCCGACATCCGTGGTAATGCTTTTAGCTTTACAGATTTGCACTTTACCGATCCACAAGGAAAGGTTTCCTGTGTACCTCTTGCATTATGCAGGACATGGTTTGGGCTTGTAAAGCATATCGTGGAATATCGCCTTGTCGATGATTTGATCCGATAAAGGAGAGAATCATACGAACTACTTCATGGGGACCCTTCCTTCCAATTGGTCACAAAGGAAGAAAAATCCGTCACCATGGATTCATGGCTACAAGTTGTGGAGAAGGACAAGACCAGAATAATGCACATGCGACTGGTGGATCACCAGGGGCAATTCAAATACCTCTTGGTAACCCATTACAATGAGAAAATTCTCGAACCGGATGTCGCCTCTGACAGTTCTTCTGCCATCAGGCGCGACAAGGGAAATGATGCTACTGAGCCGCCAACAAGTTTCATCTCGGATGTAGGAGCCAGCGACAGCGACACTACCATATCCTCAACACCAAGTTCGAGCGCTGAAAGCAGAAGCAGGAACCTGGCAAGTAAATAGAATTGCGGCCTGCAAGTCAAGTTTCAAGAGGCTAAGGCACGGGTGGATTGGTAAAGGGTTCTGACACTCAGTCATAAAATTCCAATCTTAGAGAATCGTATCTTAGAGTGGACAGCAGAAAATTTGCGGTCGGAACTACGGAATGAGGCAGATATCATGAAGAGGTTGAAGAGACTTTGCCAACCTCATTCAGGCCATGCCCTCCCCTCGTGAGAACATCTTTGCATACTTCAACAGATGGTTATTCGTCAAATTCGGGGTCCAGATCGAGACCCACCCCTTCTTTTCGGCATCGCGAGCGGCTCACTTCAGCGCAAGACTCGTCTATGAGGGCTTCAAAGCTGTAAAAATACACCAAGCGACCAAGCAACTCCCACGACTATCGCCCTAATATCGCTCCAGTTGGACATAGACGTTACGGTGATTCTTTTAGGCCGTTGCGTTCTAAAGTAAGACCTCGAGAACGCTCTTGTGTGCTCGGTGTCCCACCTCATTCTCGAGCTCTACTCCAGCCTCTGTCGTTTCAGTCTTGTTGGGCTCCAGTGAGGTCACACGTACTAAATGGCCAGTCACTTTCCCGAACCCCACTCCAACCTCTCTCCTTCCAGTCTCGCTGGAACGCGGTAAGGTCAGGCGCTCCCAGTGATCAAAGTGAGAACCGTCGAAGCAGTCAGGGGCTTCCAAGTTATAATGAAAATGACCGACGCACGCGCGCTTCGGACAAACGCTCGGTGCGTACTGAGAATGATCTTTCCGATTCTCAAGCTTTGAGGAGCTACGACCTGGACATTACCCAAGGCCGTGATGACATCGTTGGAGAAGGCTCACAATACGGTACTTCAGCCGATCAGTCCATTTAGCGCCCAGCCGTCGTCGCAGACGGGCTTAGATTCCCCAGGACAGCGCGAGCGCCGCCAGCTCCTCGTATTTCAGCGGATGACAGCGCTCCGCCTCCGGGAGGATGCAACGTTCAGAAAAAAGAGGGAGAGAAAGAGATCGTTTGGAAATCCAACATGACCGGACTAGACTCACGCTGAGACGACTGGTAGTTTTGAAACATAAAGCAGCGGTGATATTTTCAAAAGTCGGAAGAAATACCACAAGCACTTCATCTTCATTCATCGCAAAAGGCACCGAAGGCGCGCCAAAGTTTCTATGGCCAACAAAACTGAAGCCATTTGTGATGACTTGCACTCTAGCGAATTCGCCACGAGCAAAGTCTGCTGGACGTGGGGCGATTCCCAGTTTTTTAAAGACTCTTTATAAGCTCTTGGAGAATTATTATCAAATAGACTATTTAAGTAAGCTTGAAGCCTTATTTTATTATACTTGGAGTTTACTTCGGTAGCTTATTCGGTAGTAGTTCTCTTCGAAGAGCTCTCTGAGAGTCTTGGAATGCTTAGAGTAATTTAGTGGTGAAGCACATAGAAAGGGTGAGTAGTCTTCCCACGGTATCGACAAGCTTTCCACTACTGGGAAGTACCGCGCCCTAGCACATATTTATTGCACCGTCTAATTGGATTGAACAACAAGCCATCTTTTCAGTCCATGCATAGGTACACAGAAGAAAATCTTCTCCATCTTGTGGCTGAACTTTGCCGTGCAGGCTGCACCACCTCACCGAGATGCTCCGACGATTCCATCAAAAACATCTGTCAAACATATCCTACCCATCGCATTTACCTTCATGCTTGTTGCCACTCTTGAAAGTTAGCTATGATGATTAATTAGCGTACCACTCGAAGTCGGCAGCAATGGTATCTTCCGTTGCTCCTCAGTCCGGTCTTGACTTCTGAACCTGTTTTGTTAAGTCATCCGGTGAGAAAGCCGGCAAAACGCCCAAACCTCATTCGAGCATTAATGTCATTTCTTGATGATCTAATCTTTGCAGTAGAGCGAAGCTTCTACCTGGGTCTGTGACTGGCAAAAGAGATGTATATGGACATAAAGTTCACGCCCGATTGAATCCGTGATCTCGCAAACGTGATTAGCGTCGCAGGGCAGGGTTACAATTGAATAACACGGCATACGCTCTGCCTTCTCTATAAGAACATGGCTTCGCAGGCAAGATGCATTCTTTCCCCCCAGAATATTCTTACCACGAATACTAACCTTATAACAGAAGTTGATTATATATGGGTAATCAGCCTTTGATCTAGTGCGACCTTGCTCTCCCTTTCACATCGCTCATCTCGGAGAAGAATTCTTTTGTAGCATTCATCGAAGGCCTGCTCTCATCATGTATGGAGTCGCTAGCCTCATCGTTACCGCTACTGTGCTACCATTACTTGGACTGGTAGCGGTATGCTTGAGATTTTTCGTGCGCCTTCGCCTCAAGCCCAGCTTTGTGGGGATCGATGATTGGCTGATTGCTTTTTCTTGCCTTTTGGTCTTCGCGCAAGCTGCTACCCAAATCACCGGTGAGAGCGAACTTCTCCGCCCTAGTCCGAGCGGGCAAAGGTCGCAAAGCTTGTGCTGACTGTCTCGTTTTCTGTGAAAAGCGGCCGTCATAGGAGAGCTTGGCAGAGACAGTGAACCGACTGTTGACTGGCGCGTCGCAAACCAAGGCAAGGTGGGTTGTCAAGACAGCCAGACCAAAGCTCTACCTCTATGACCGTAACAAGAAGTTCACTAACTCAAACATCTCAACAGCTCGATTACGCCGTCCTGGTAATTGAAAAATTCACATACAGCTGCATCAAGCTCGGTGTCCTCTTCTTCTACCGCCGAATCTTCTATCACCATAAAACGTTCCGCATCCTCAACAATATTCTCATCGTCATCATCACTCTTTGGGGCCTTGTCTTCATGTTTATGGAGGCCTTCACATGCGGCGCTGACTCCCATCACGGTCATCCTTGTGCACCGCAGGAGTGGTTACTGCTATGGTTCGCTATCACGGATGTGCTGGGCGATATTGCGGTGCTTACGCTGCCTTATCCTTGTATCCGGGCGTTGCAGATGAGCCGGAGGGAAAAGTTCGGGCTGAGTGCCATCTTCATGCTGGGCACGCTGTGAGCCTGGAAACAAAATACCTTCTGCCTCTTGCCAACACTGACTTCGAAACTGAATAGATCGCTCCTCTTCGGTATTATAAGACTAGGTTTCGTCGCGAAGACGTTCACGGGTATGGCCATCTTCCTCCCACCATGATTCGCATGACCGGCAGTGCCCTTGTCGCGAGCAGCTACTGACATAGTCTAGTCTATTTCCATCCCTCACAGAGCGCAACCAGCCACAATCGTACCCCTCCCTCATTCTGGACCACCGTCGAAGTCGCCATTGGCCTTTTGGCAGCTTGTCTCCCTCCGCTAGGGCCCTTAATCACACGTGTACCTTCTCCACGGAAGATGTATACCTCTGTGCGACATGGTCTTGCATCGTACGCTTCGGGCGGCAGCAAGCTGTCTGAGAGAGTACCAAGCGTTGAGCATATCTCGAATGTTGAGGCGTTCGACGGACACAAGATGGGAGCAGTCAACGAAAGAGAACGTGGGGTCAGTAGCGACGAAGAAGTCGAATTGGTGCAATATGGGGGTTTCAAGTAAATGCTGTGAAGTGCTGTCATGGTCGGTTTCTTTCCAGGAAAGACCTAGCGAGTCTTAATATTTTTTTAATACCATCGCTATGTTGCCCCTTCGTTGAATGCATCTCTCCATAGACAACAGGCATGCGTCGCCCGCAGTGGTGCGATAACATTATAGATATCCTGCAGCAACGACGACTGATGACACAGGATATCTGAATAACAAAATCGAAATTTACTTCTTACTCTCTTTACCGGAGATCCATACCTTCCGACACCACCGTTCGTTCACAGCGATAAAACCCCTAACCGTAAAAATCCTCACACGAGGATACCAAGGCCCATATCGCATTCGCCAATCACGCCAGTCTCTGCCGTCAATGGAACAATGGTGATTGAAAAACATTGCTCAAGACTGAAATCACAAAATATTCGACAACCACAAATTTAAAGTTGCTCAATCAGATCTTCAGATTCCATGATTCCAAACCTAAAACTTATCTTATTTCTTTATTTTTCACTTAAAAGCGGGTATCCGATAAACGCCGACGCCGAGACAACAAATTTAACCGAGATTCTTCCCCCACATTTAATAGCTTCCTTATATTAATTATTAAATAACTCTACTACTAATAATTTAATATACCTTAAATTACTATCTTATCTACTTCTAATAAGAACGAATTAGATTAGATTCTAAAGTAGTAAAAGAAATCTACGAAAACTAGTAAGAGATAGATATTTCTTAAAAAACGTAATAATCTTCTTTAGCGTATTTTACTATTTCTAGAGTATTAATTAATAATAATTAAGTATTAAATAGCTATTAATTATCTTTTAAATAATCTATTTCTTATTTTATATATTATATTTAATCTTATATAAACTACTATTATCTAGAAAATACTTTAAAATAATATTAATTTATATATCTCTATTTAAAGTTCTCGTAATTCTTATTAATACTCTATAACTATATTAGAGCTAAAAATCTTTATCGCTATTATAATCTATATAAAAATCTTTTATTTTTCTACTATTTATAACTATTAAAGAACTAATAAAATTATATTTATAGTTTTAATTATTATAGAGAAAATAGCTCGAGATCGCTATATTCTTCTTCGAAAGTATATATATTATTTAAATCTTATTTAAGAGAATCTTATAATTATTAAAATAGATCGATAAAAGTAATTAATATAATATAAGAAACTTCTTTTATTTATTAGCGAGATTTGAAAGAATTAAAATCTTTTTAGAATCTCGAGTTTTTATATAGCGATTGATAAATATATAATTAAAAAGATAAAGCGTATATCTTATTTTATTATAGCTTTAGATAAGCTAATTAAGAAGGAATATAAGCTTTTTATAATTAATAATAAGAGCTATATCTATAATTATATATAATATTCCCCGATATAGAAATTAGAAAATAGGCTAAAAACTAAAGAACTTAAAGAAATATTAGCTATAATATTTAAATTAGCTATAAATATTTTTTTAAAAAATATTATTCTCTTTATAAATAACTATTTTACTTATTTAAAGCTAGTTATAGCTCTAAGAGATAGAAGAATTACGATATATAAGACTATAAAGCTTACTCGACGAGATCTTTTAAAATTACTTATAAAGATAAAATAGATATTTATTAAGAATATTTCCTACGAAGTTCTTACTATAATAATTTAGAATAATATTCTTATAATAGTCTCATAAGATAATAATCTTATTTTAAAACTTATTACTAAATATAATATTCGAGAGATTAATAATTATATCTTTAAAAAAAGGAAACGTTCTAATAAAATTAGTATAAATACTTATATTACTTTATCTACTTTTAAGAAGAATAGAAAGAATCTAAATATCGAAGAGAAGAAATTTAAGATTTCTAAGCTTTTTTATTATTATAATAAGTATATAGAGAAAATAGATCGATTTAATACTTTAGTAACTATATATACTTTCTAGCGAGTCTATAATTATAATTAAATATTTTTATTTTATTAATATTTAAATAAGAGTCTTATAAATACTTTTAAACTCTATAAATTAATAGAAATTATTTAAGAGTATTAGAAATTTCTTAAAAGTATAGTAATAGAGTTATTAAAAGAAGGAGATATCTATTAAATAAGATTAAATCTTATCTCTATCTTTATACTATTAAAGATATTATAAGATAATTATAATTAATAAAACTTAAAGACTATTCGAGTATATCTTATATATTATAAGAATATTTAAAATCGAGATTTTAAGCGAGAGATTAATAAGAATAGAGTTAATACTCTTAAGATACGCGAGGAATATAAAGTATATTAGATCTTTTTATATTATAAAGGGGATTACGTAAGATAATTTTATAAAAGAAATAATATATTAAACTCTATATAATAGATCTAGACTATATTTATTAAATTATCAGTATATATAAAAGAATAAGGTAGGGCTGAACTAGAAAACCTTGAATTTGTATGTGCAGCCAATCATCAATTCAGGGTCACTACGCTTTTTGGTTAGACCGGCTAAGTCATCGCGGGTAAATAAATTAGCGTCCGCAACCATCAAAATCTCGCCCTCCCGCGCCGAGCGCGCCTCCCTCATCAAAAAAATAGGTGTATATTATTGACACATAAAATAACTTTTTTGTTTTCTATTAAAATTTTGAGATTTCTTTTTTATATTATAGAACGCAATGTGGGCTTTCAGATAAAAAAAGAATTTCTAAATTTAGTCTTATAATTATTAAAGCGCAAGGAATTCAAATATCGCTCACCAAAATTCGCTCACCAAAGTTCGCTCGACAGCCGGACAGCCCTAATCAAAAAACAGATATACATTATTTGATTTTAGAATAACTTTTTGATTTTCTATTAAGATTTTGAGATTTTTTTTTCAAATTATAGAACGAAATATGGGCTTTTAGAATTTTTTTTTCTTAAATTTAGTCTTATACTTATTCAAGCGTAAGGAATTCAAATATCGCTTATCAAAGTTCGCTCACAAAAGATCGCTCACCTATTTACTCGATAGCCCTGATTATAAAAAAGGATTATGAATTTAATTCATAGGCCTTTACTCGTATAAATATAATAAGGTAGTAATCGAAATAATAGTGCGGAGAAAATAATTTATTACCTCTCGGCGTTTAACGAATATACGAGAGTATATTCAAAAGAGGAAATTAAAAAAAAAACTTCAAAATTCTTAAAACTATCTTTTTTAATTTCTGTTTTAACATTAACGATATAATAATAAAATGAGCTTATAAAATTATAGAGCTAATTATACGCTTTTAAATAATATAACGTAGACGAAAGTAAATAAAGTATTCGTAAAGATATATAAATTATTAAGTTTACGAGAAGAGTCTCTTCGATAAAAGCTCTCGAAGAATCAAAAAGATTTTAAATAATATCTCTCTTAATTCTTAGAGTTAGACTTCTTAAAAACCTTTAAACTCTTTAAAACTCTTTAAAAGCTCTTTAAAAGTTTATATCAAAGAAACCATCAAAGTACTCGTGAATTCCAGAAGTGAGTTACTTGATATAGCGAGGACACTAATAGATCAAGTAACATGCCGCTAAGTGGAAATATCTATTAATATCCTCGCTATCAAGTAACTCACTTCTGGAATCCACGAGCAAGCTCGAAATTAATCAAATATTATTAAAATAATTAAATATTGAGTTTTCTTCAACAGCCTCTTCGATATAAGCTCTCGAAAAGCCTTTCAAGAGTCTCTGAAGGGTCCGAGGGGTTCCCTGAGAATCAAACGTAGTCAAAAAACCAGTACTTGGCAAGCTTTTCACTACTAAGAAGCCCACGCCCCAGCAAATGTTATCTTCCCTTCCTCACACAAAGTCGCCCGGCCGCGCGTATCCGACCCGCAAAGACTGAGAAAAGTATCATCTTACCCCGCGCCGCTTTCCGACGGGCAAATTACCGAATCATACCCCGAAAGTACGAATCCTTACCGAATCATACCCCTAATTACCGAATCATACCCCTACACCAAATCACACCCAAATATGGGGTATGATTCGGTAATTTGCCATTGCTTGGGGTATGATTTGGTAAGTTGTCAAAGTGGCCTCAAACTACGAAGGAGATAATCCGCGATCTGGCTTATTCGATCATAGAAATAAGGGAGTTTCTCCGACCGCATTTGATGAGACTTCTATCAGCCTAAAAACATCAGACGAAAGCCGAGTGGGCGAAATTTCGAGCCCGGGGGTGTCCGCACTTCACGCTGCAGACACCCCTATTCGGGTCCCGTAGGCCCCGTAGGGCCCCCGAAGGAATAATTCCTACTACGCTGCGCAACGGGGCGGGGTAAGCTTCGGGGGTCAAACCCCGCCCCGTTGCGCAGCGTAAATACCACCGTTATCAATAATCAAGTCGACGATAAGCTTACCGCTATTATTACCTTTATTAAACCCTCTCATATCAGGAAGCTATTATTTTTCAAATCATACCCCAAGCAATGGCAAATTACCGAATCATACCCCTAATTTGGGTGAAATTTGGTGTAGGGGTATGATTCAGTAATTAGGGGTATGATTCGGTAAGGATCCATACTTTTGGGGTATGAATTAGTAATTCGCCCGCTTTCCGACACAACAAACCCCCTCCCCCTCCCACCGACCGTCCATCCGTCATATCCTAACCCCCCTCACCCATCACACGACGCTCAAAATCTATCATCTGCATCGCAAGTCCTCGACAGCGCTGGTGGCAGCCCTACCCGATCCTCCCCCCCACCCACATTGTGTCTAAGCGTGGGTCTTGTCACATAGCCTATCATTTCATTTGGCATGGGGTGACGGTTGTCGCGTTCCGGTGAGGGGATGCTATCAGATGTGGCACTGATTGGTGGGGGTGGGGTGGGGGGGTTGGCAATGAGGGACGCGGATTTACACCTGCATGCAGCGGTGAGAAGCGGGACGGGTTTTGCTAACCGTTACGACTAGACCAAAAGGTGATTACTAGTAGTCCGTCACTAAACAGTAACTTATACTAGTTGTAGGCTTGAAAGCGTACGACCGCTTTCCCACACACATCTCGGTGGTGCTGAATGTCGAGCAGTTTATTTGTCGTATGATTTCGATGTTTAGATCCACGCTTTCCCTCGAAACATTTGGTGGATTCTTTTTCGTTCATCATGTTGGATTTCTCTCCAAAAGCTTCGCAATGTGGCCTCCCATCTACCCCACACTGTCAGTTTCCTTGCTTCCTTCTCATCCTCGTCGAAGCTTGATACTTCGCCGCCTGAGTCGGTTCGACCCATGCCCATGCCAATACCCCGCAAGAGGTCTTCGAGACCGATCTCTTTGTTAATGTCTGCCATGCGACTGGCGTCCTATGCGTTGAAGGATTGATAAGCGTATGTAAACGTGGAAAACGGTGGACCGATCGGAGGAGGGCAAATAGAAGTCAAGAGAGCATCAGCCGACGGACTGAGACTCACAGCTTCAGCAATCCTTTTACTGCCAAACAGCACGTCCGTTTCTTCCAGTGTCAATCTCTTTGTCTCAGGCACGGACGGCCAAATGAACGCTCCACCTCCAAACGTCAGAAGTCCGAAGAAGATAAATGTCCCGAAAGGAATTTTCTGCAGCATGATGGGCGTAATCTGGCCCACGATAAAGTTCGACATCCAATTCGAGGATGCACTCAGCGATACCGTAAGCGCGATTGGACAGGGGCTACATTTCGCTGATGACGACCCGACCGCAGGGGCCCCAGCTGTAGCCAAAGTTGACGACGAGAAGCCACACCATGGTGACAGCTGCCCAGCGGGCTGCTTCATGGGTTCCCCATTGATGCTGGTTTATGCCGAAGAGGATGGCGAGGATTGTGTGACAGATAGCCATGCCCACAGCTCCCGTGAGCAAGACGGGGTTTCTCCCTAGCTTATCAACGTAAAGGACGGCAGGAATGGTGGCAAGAAACATCGCTATGCCTACTACTCCCGTTGCGAGGAGGCTGGAAGTGTTGCTAGAGGTGCCCAGGGCTGCGAATATGGACGGTGCGTAGTAGAGGACGGCATTGATGTTTGTGAATTGTTGGAAGAACATGGTGACCGTGGCATCGATGACGCGCCGAAACATGGCCTTGGTCTCGAATGGTGAACCAATAGCCACGGACTGCAACCTGAAGATATTCCAAGGTGTAAGCTCCACAAGGTGTGGCCATTGGCTAGCCGTGGTCCGTTTCTCGAAGACCGATTGTACCTTGATTTCCAGGAGTTCAAGCTCGATCGGCTCATGTTCTTCGCTCAAATTACGAAGGCTGGACAATACGTTGCGGGCTTCACTTTCTCGGCCGTGATGCACCAGCCACCTAGGGCTGAACGGCACAAAAAGCATCCCTATGCCGAGCGCCAATCCAGGTATCAGCTGCAAGCATATGGGTACTAGCCATGCTGCATCTGACCGGGAGCTCCCAGTACCGCCAATATTGTCGGTCCCGTAGTCGATCCAGAAGCTAACCATGACTCCGCCTGTGATAGCGAGTTGCTGCAATGCTACTAAGCTGCCTCGAACTTCACGAGGTGCAACTTCTGCGTTGCAGTTGGGCACGTTGACAGACATGGCGCCGACTGCAAGACCGGTAACGAAACGGCCTCCAAGGATGCAAGAAGCTCCGCCAACAACACCGAGACACTGCACGATAAATCCAACAACAAAAACGCCCACATTGGCGATGATGGCATATTTTCGGGGAGAGCGTCTCGGCCAAGAAGCCGGAATAGAGGCACCCAAACTACGCTCCGAGCTCGAAGATGGAGGTCATCCATCCCTTTTTTGTTTGGTCGTGCACCCAGACGCCCATGTAGCTGCTAAACGAGGTCATTTTGAGGATCCCAGAGAAGACACCTTGGTTGTATCCATAGACAAAGCCTCCAACGCAAGCAAAACAGGCAATCGCAAAGACCTTGATATTCCAGGTGCCATTTTGTGTGGCCGCTGATCGAAGCAGTATCAAAGATGTGTATCAGGCAAACGGTCAATCGCTTCTGCAAGTAAATAGCAGCAATCTTTGACGGGTAACGGCCCGAGATCAAAGCTGATGAACGACACCATGGCACCAGGCATGCGGAGAGATACAAACGATGCCAGAATGCCATACACGGCATTCCTGCCATGGCTGTTCATGCGCACCAGTAGAAGCATAGCAGGACGCCTACCTTTGTGGAGGCGGGAAGGAACGTAGGATTCTTGGCAGTTTTATTCCCAATCGGGAATTCCGTGTTGGGAGCTGACTCCCGAATCGAGATTCAATCGTTAGCATAGAGAAGCTGCCAGACATTGCACTTCTCCTGGATTATAACAGAAATCCCCGGTGTGTTTGTAGGGTCCGAAAATTCCTATATCATGCCCATGTCATTGATATTTCCGGTAAGCAGAGATTGATGTGAATTCTCGCTTGGCGCAGCGTTAGAAAGTCTTCAATAGACAATGCCATAATCGATTGGTCCAGAACCATCGCCGTTTTGGTTTGCAAGCTCTACATGGACTTATATTAGCTGTATGCTTGCCGAGGTGACAGATGATTCTCACCTGCAAACATAATCATCGAAGAAAGCTCTGAGAAAGTCCTCCGGTCAGTATCTACTCTTCCTGGACGGGAAATGGAGGCATGAAACATATGTCTGGACTATGGAAATCCCGCATCATGCCTCATGACCCCCGAATACATACAAAGAAGGGAGTTTAGGGAAGGGGAAGTCGTACTGATGATCGAAGCTAAGCTCAGTATCCGCAAGGAACTGAGATTCCGTTCGCATGGTGTCTGATTCGAGCAAAAGATTCGATGGATTGTTCCCCGCGGGTGACGGTACGAACTGAAATCACAGTTTAATGAAATGCCTCTCATAGCGGGGACCTGCTAGGGTCGGACTCGCATATCTTTTGGAGCGCACTCTTTGACCCTCCTGGCTCTCGAAGATCATGCAGTCTGATGAAAGTGCTGATTGACACGCTGACAACACTCAAATCAATATCCCTCAGACCCGTCTCTCGCTAATCAAGCACGACGTCTACCCATCCAGATCCAGCATATCCGGGCTTGGTCCTTGATGGCTTGTCTCGAGAACTGGTAGTTGGCCTTCGCAACAAGTGAGAGAAAGGAGTAAGCCGACTCGGTCGCTGCATTAGATGCTGTGTGAGACCCTGAGATCTTGTCGAATTGGAAGACCATAGATGGTGATGTCTGAGGAGGTATAGGGAAAGCAGAAGGTGAAAGATCCTTCGGAAGGGTAGTCTTGCCCTTACTCTGACCGCGAAGCATATCCCGGCTGTATGCACAAGCGGCGTGAAAAAAGGACTGATTGATGAAGATGGTAGTCAGAAGCGCCCTATCGTCGATCAATTTTGCGAACGTCAGCATGTCCGTTATTGACTTGATGGCATTTCTGTATAATTCTTGATTGACTTTCCGAATGTCCAGACCTGGACTTTGGTCAATGGGTTCCTCGTTGGTAACTGTACGGTCAGGAGGCCTCACGAGGCTTTCATCGTCACCGGCGGGGCTTTCTTGAATAAGAAAGGCGATTTGGAGGTGGTAGAACAAGTGGAGACTAAGGTACGGTTTTGTCTGGTTTGCTTTTACAGTAGCCTGGTAATTCACCGCGCCATATCCAATCTCCTTGGGTAATAGACAGTACTCCTGAATGATCTTTTGTTTTCAACCCCTCGATTATATCCATGCGCTGCCTGTAATCTGAGTCGGATTGAAATCTTATCTGACTGGAACCAATGTTAAGAAAATCGATTGACTGTGCGTACTCCAACATCATACGGGTCGTGTGAAGATGAATTTCGGGCCCTGGGGGTTCAGTAACTCCTCCGGGCCCTGCTCGAATGATTGCAATGTCCTCGCTGTCTCGTAGCCTTATATTAAACCTCGTGTCTTTTCAAGCTTGGAACTCGGCCAATTCCGCTGCACTGTAAGCTCACAGTCAGCTATGATCGATCAAAGGTCATGGTTTAACAGCAGAGTTGTGAAACATATCGCTTAATAAGGAGGTTTTATGTATAAAGACGCACCAGAAGAGCATCACTTTTGCCGATGCTTCAAATTCTTTGATGTCAATGTCCTTTGACTGAACTCGGGGCTTGGAAGCTTCGCCACTGAGGTCTCGCTCTATGTGAAACTCCGGACCGGTATCGAGGCATGACTGCTCTTGATGTAGACCAAGTTCTTGGGCCACTGAATGGTTTTGGAGTCAGCACTTCCTTTTTGGGGTGTCTTTGAGTTGTAGAACAGTTCTGGCAGCATATACAGTTGCAACAAATCACCATTCTTTATGAGTGGGTCAAGATGCCTGCGGTTTACGAAAAACATGTTGTCCAAATATGCATGGAAGAAGCTATCAAGTAACAAACCAGTAGAGCTGAACAATGGTAGCAGCTCACCTTGGTGGAAATGAGAAGAAACGGAAGGGTGCCTTGCTTCGCCATCGTAGTCATGCTTGGTTTTTAGGCTAATCTTTCTGTGACCAGGCGCTATGGCCATGGGGCCTAAATGACGATAGTAATGGACAGTAGCACAAGGGGTTTCACTGGCAGATGATTCGGAGCGTTCTCCAAGTGAAATCTTGCCATTGGCGCCTCCATTCGCTGCGGGAAGAACGGTGGTGGGCGAGATTCCATGACCTGCTGGTGCTCTAAGAGCTTGAGAGCTTTGAGTGGATATTGGGGGTGTAGGAGGAATCAAGGGTCGAATGGACGGTAGACTAGAATTCTCGTTTCTGTGTGTTCTGGAGATGTTGTCTCGTCCACCGGCATTGCCTGGAGAAGAAGTCCTTCCTCTTCTCCTGCCATCCCCTTGAGGCCAGACGCAATGCTTCGATAGACTGGCGCAGTGGTTGTAAGGCCATGCGACCACCGGGGCACTACTGATTGCTGTTGCTTCCCCTCCCAAACAGCGTATCTTGAGCTTGCGACAGCCTTCGCAAGCTATGCTCGTGTGCTTCTGTCTCTTGGGCGAGGTGGGAGAGCCTGGAAATGAATGCGGCGTACTAACTTTGATGGAGTCCATGCATACTAGCAGTCATGTCTTTCTACGCTGAATGTCTTTCTACGCTGAATTATACAATGTAAATGGTCCATATGAGTTGCGCAAAGGTCCAATATTTACCTGCACGACGGAAGGATGAACCATTTGGGGAAAGCTCTCTCTCGAGAAGCCGCAGCACGCAGCACGCAGCGCGGCAATCCAGAAATCTAGTCTTGAAACGTGGAGCGAGTGGAAGAGTTGAATTGGCGATTCAATCATGGCACTGCCACCTGATCTAACTGTCCAATGGACATGCTGGAAATTGGATCGAGGTAGCGCTGCCTTTGCCAATGTTACATGGCTGGTCAGCCTGACAAAGAAGTATGATAGGATGCCCGCATGCTCGCATCCGCGGCCATCCTTCCCACCATCATAGATCTTTGAGAATAGCGATAGGAGAGATAAACGCAGGACTGTAGTGACGGACAGTGAGGGCATTCTCAATATTGCCCTCCTTATGGCGATGACGTACATAGTGTCGCAAACCATGGTCTGAGCGCGCCCACCGAGTCTATCACTTCCTTTTCGCAAACAGCGGCCAGACCTTTCTTCTTGTGTTGCAAAGTCTTTCCGGACAAAGTTTCTGCCAGCTGCTGCTGTTCAACAGGTCTAATGGCGCGCACTCGAGCCCAAGAACACGCTGACGAATCGAAACCAAAATATTCCCCGAAAGAACCCAAGCCTCGAGGACGCACTGCAGCCACAGCAGAAGACCAAAGAAAGACGACCGGGCGCAAGGACAGGAAGCGCAATGTGGACGACGTGGAAAATGCAAAAGATGAGCAAGCTCCTGTCTCAAAAAAGAGTAAGACCGCAGATTCGACATCAACTGAAGACACGAAGCCAAACCCATCTGCCGTTGACATGAGTAAACTTGATACTATCCTATCAAGCTACGGTGTACACCCTCTACAAGATACGAGCCTCCCCAGACGGAATGAACCTACGCCAGAAACCGTACTCGCGTTGCTCTACCTAGCCATGCTCAGCTCCGCACGAATTTCCCACGAATTGGCATATAAGAGCCTCCAGTGCTTGATCGAAGCGGGCTACCAAGATATTGAAACGTTGAAAAGGAGTACATGGCAGGAGCGGACTGAGGTCTTGACAAAAGGTGGCTACACGAGATACCGCGAGAAGACTGCTACAGCCTTGGGCGAAATGGCAGACTTTATAGAGAAGGAATACGGTGCGCTATATCTCAACGATGGTTCTCCAACACAAAACCTGCCACTGACTCCTTTCACGAGTACAGACAACGATCTCAACAATCTCCTCAAGAAAGCAGACTCGTCCCCCATCAAAGTCCGGAAATTGCTGCAGGGAATCAAAGGCATTGGCAAGGTCGGAACGGACATCTTTTTTGACGTTGCCCAAGGCATCTGGCCACCTCTGGCACCGTTCATCGACCCTAGGAGTGTGGAGACGGCCAAGCACTGTGGTCTCGGCAGCGATGTGGAGGCGCTGTGGGATGCGGTCGGGAAAAATCCAGTTGAGATGTGCAAATTGAGTTCGGCGCTCACCATGGTACGGCTGGAGAAGAAAGAGAAGGAGTTTCGGTGACTTGCAGTCAGTGCATAGGTCATGTTGTTTTTGAGGCAGTTAATCCATGTTATGGGAGTGGAGGTGGGTTTTTGAAGTACGATTATATACAGAAAGCAAAGGCTGACAATCCTCAAGTCCCAAACCCCTTTTTGCTCACAGCGAAGTTGTTGAATGGACGAGTGCCACTTCTCGAAACGGCCTAGCGCACCTGGTGAAATCATGACTCTATAAAGTAACATTTGTGTTGAATCCTCTTCTTCCATTCATCCTCATTCTATTAATGCGTGCATCCATCTACCTTACAACAATTGAGAGCTAATTACGTCAGTTGCTAAAGCACTTTAAAGTAGGTTCTGAAGCGTTAATTGCGGAGCTTACTCCGACCTTGAGGGCATGACGTCACACCTCTTCAGCCAATCAATTGAAAGACATTGTATGCTGACGACATCGTCAATTACGCGAACACTTTCACTTCCACTTTTGAGACGATACTCACGCTCCACTTACACAACTCGCACCTTTACTCTCTCATCCATAACTAAGCTCCAACATAGTCAAAACCGCGCCCAGTCAAAAATCAGCAAAGCGTTCCCAGAAGCTATGGAGACAATCAAGCAAACTGTCGCCCAGAATATGGGCATTAAGGTATGTTCCTTCTCTGTCCCTCAATGGGCACTAACGTTATCGAATCATACTGCTATCATGTCTCCCACCCTCGTCTTGGCTTCATCTTAGCTTCCAATTACGTGCCTTAGAGGGAACATACTGACACCGAACTTTGCTTAGGGGTCTCATGAACAGGTGCCAGAAGGCCAGCGTTTCGACCTTGACGACACGCCCAATCTCAAGGGGAAGGTCGCCGTCATCACTGGTGGGTCTGAAGGTATTGGTTATGGCGCCAGCCACACACTCCTTTCCCACGGCATCGAGAAACTTTTCATTCTTTCCGTATCGAAAGAAGTGGTCGATGGCTCGATCAATGCCATCAAAGAAGAGATGGGCGAGGAGACAGCGAAGAAGGTTACATGGTTGGAGTGCGACCTTTCAGACTGGAAGAAAGTGAAGCAGACAGCGGATAAGATTGCAGGTAGTACCGACAGGATTGACATCTTGATCAACAATGCAGCGAGGGGGATCATGACATACCAATTGACCGACTATGGGGTCGACCGTCACGTCAGTCCCCTACTCTTCCTGTCGCGGAAGCTGTACTAAATTGTGTATAGATGGCTGTGAACCACATGGCCCATGTAATCCTCACTTCGCACCTGCTTCCCATCCTGAAGAAGACGGCTTCCAACGGCAACACCGTGCGCATCAGCAACCAGGCCTCGAACGCCCACCAAGCCACACCCTCAGATACAAAATTTGAATCCTTAGACGAGCTAAACAGAGACCTTGGTCCAAATGGTCAATACGGTCGCTCGAAGCTCGCCGCAATCCTCTACTCCCGCTACCTAAACCGTCACCTTACCTCCTCGCATCCCAACATTCTCGTAAACGCCACGCACCCCGGTTTCGTCGAAACCAAGATGTCTTCGCAGGACATCCATGAGCCTTACCCCCTAGGCGGCTACGCCATGTCCGTCGGCATGGCGCCTCTGAAGAAGAATATCATGCAAGGATGCGTCAGCACCGTCTTCGCTGCTACGGCTACGACAAAGAGTGGAGAGTACATATGTCCTCCCGCCGTGCCGGAGAGTGGCAATGCGATGGCACAGGATGAGCAGCTAGGGGAGAACTTGATGAAGTTGACGAGGGAGATTGTCAAGGAGAAGACCTATGAGGACTCAGCGGCGAAAGGGTGTCCGTTCACGGATTACTAGTCTTTTGTCCCGGAGGCGGAGGAATTGTTCCACGGAGACGCATATGATGGCATAGCATCAATTACACAAAAAGTCTAGCGGGCGAACATTGAAGGCTGTTTCTCTGCTTCTACAAACGTAGTACCATCACATGGCAAGCTATAAATAAACGAGGTCCACAACATCATTCCGTCGGATTTCACCCCCACTACCCGGTTCCGCTACGCGTACCAATTCGCGTCCAACCCCAAACCTGATCAACCAAGCCAACCCCAACCCCAACCACACCCCCCTGTCCTCCTCCCTACCAGGCAATAAACCAAACCAAACGCATCACACCACACCACAACCCCCGGCGCCAACGCGCCATCACCCGCCATGCCGAAGCGCAAATCCGCCAGCGCCGCGGCCGAAACCTACGACGCGGACGGCGGCGAGGCGCCCCGGAGCAAGAAAGCGAAGGGGGGCGAGGGGAAGAAGGAAGGGGGGAAGAAGGAAGGAGAAGGGAAGAAGGAAGGAGGAGGGAAGAAGGAAGGAGGAGGGGAGTTTTGGGAGGTATGGACGTCGGCCCTGCTTGTTGGATGGGTAGTGTGGTGGTTGTTGATATTGGCTGACGGTGGGATGAGAGGGTAGTTGGCGGGGAAGCGGCGGGTGGGGATTAGTGAGTTCAAGGGGAAGACGATGATTAATATACGGGAGTACTACGAGAAGGATGGGGAGAGTTTGCCGGGGAAGAAGGTATGTGTGATGTTTTTTGCTCGAGTGGCCATCTGATTTTAATTCTACGGCGCTGGTGCAATCGCCGGATCGGAGTCGATGGAGACGGTGTCTTCGGCCGACGCTGACGTGTCTCGGATTGTTAGGGCATCTCCCTCCCTGTCGAACAATTCAATACCCTGATCAAGCTCCTCCCGCACATCGAGACTGTATTGGCGGAGAAAGGCCAGAGTGTCGAACGACCTGATTATAGCGGCGCGGGTGCGTCGGCGGCTATGGACGAGGACGGTGACGAGGAGGATGAAGAGGTGGAGGGCAACGGGAAGAAGAATTTCGAGGAGACGAGTGACGATGAGTGAAGGTGTCGTGTTGATGGTCAAGCTGTAGTCGTGAGACATTCAGCATGAGGCTTGACTGGAGACGATTTGCCATACATTGCACTTGCAGCATGGAGGAATATGGCTGGAAATCTGGACTGACTTCTATCACATGATACCTCGGAGCTGGCAGCTGAGATGAAGCTGTAATATAGTGGAATTGATTCGACTTGGTGCCTTATCGAGTTCGTTATGATCTGATATTGATGAAGCACGGGTCTCAATCACAATGATGACCATATATAAGATAAAGGTCGGAAGTGAAGTGAAGCTCGTGGCTCCGCTCAGCTGCTTTGAAAATTGGCGGCTCCCAATTCGAGTGATGATCATGGTACAACGCTCAGGAAGCCGCTTTGTCGGCTTGAGCCTCAGCTTGCGGCTCTGGACTTATTGCTGGGGGTGGCCCACCCATCTTCGGCGGCGGAGGCGGTGCACTCTTCGCAGCTGGAGTAGAATCCTCCTCCTTACTTTTCTGCTCCCCTTCCTTGAAATATTCATCAAACGCCGAATTCGGAGACACAGCCTTTCTCGCTTTCCTCGCCGCCCTCGGGGGTCCAGTTGTAGTAGCCCCCGTAGGTGGGGGAGGAGGCGGAGTAGTCAATGTTGCCGGCACCAGAAAATCACTGGATTGTTGGTTCGAGCTGGTCTTGTATAGAGAGCTGCCCGAGGGGTAAGATCTCAATTTGGCAGAAGGTGGCCTGTTTTCTTCGTTGCTGAAACGCGCTGTCTCAAAAAGCGTTTCGCCCGGTCCAGCAGGCGGTTCGTTTAATGGCGCTGGGAGTCGATGTAGTGCCCCAAATCCCAACACACAGCCGAGAGCTCCTGAACCTCCCCAGCTGCGAGATGGTGTAATAGTGACGAGTCTCGTCACAGCGTATTCGTGATTGTAGACCCACAGCCTGAGGGTGCGAGATAGATAGTCCTCCACCAATTCTCCGAGGCCTGCTTCACCGCGCATGTTGCCCTCGGGTGTCCCGACTATGTAGTCGCCGTAAGGTAAAAGCCCGGCTATGTCGGCAGGGGAGTCAGGGATCACATCAAGGACATGCCAGACATCCTCGGTAGATGAAAGCGGTGTCCATTGCAGCGTGAGACCCAGCGTAGGCGAGGGTGTCGGAACAGCAACCTGGAGCGTCCGCGCGCGTTGACCCTTTGCGCTCCAGATTGTCAAGGCAACATTGGAGCCCGCACAATTCCGTATTTCAACAGCAAAAGAGTTCGTGTCAGGTTCTTCAATTTGTCGCCCATTGATGCCGACGACAAAGTCGTACCAGGGCTCAGTGGGTATATCGTTGTTCTTGTTGCGCAGGACTTGAAAGCCAAAGGCGCCGTAGCTGTCGCGGGAGGTTTGAGACGGGGCGTCGGAGTCGAGGCGGGATATGAAGCGGTTGAGGGCTCCGAACATGTTTGGTAAGGACCGGATAGAGCTTATAAAAATCGTACTCGTAGAGGCACGATGAGAACATTGTACAGAATTCGAAGCAATTCGTGATAGGGCTGAAAATCGCCAAGGAGCTACGAGTAAGGCAAGCCAAGTCTTTCTACTTTTGCTACACCACGTATCAAGTTACAGACAAGATGTTAGCTGCCACATGAAACAGTCCCATTACTCCAAACTTGAGCTAGAGGATCATCAACGAGGAATTCCACGGGCTATCTAACGTCCTCTCTGGCGCTATTTCGTCACAATTACCCGTTGATTCCGAGTCGATGTTCGAAATCATGAGAATGACAGTCTTTAGTGCCTCAGACTGCCTCTTTTTTGACACCTTGCCTGTTTATCAAGTCCATTTCGGCAAGTGAAAACTCAGCGAGACTATTTTGTATTTGGGAGTACAGCTTTTCCTTTGCAAACAACACCATGGCATTACAATCAAGCACCAAGGAGGCACGCAGCTGATACAGCTTAATGTACTCGGTCATGGAGCTTATGAGTCCACTCATTGAAGAAAGTGGAGTATCTAAGGTTTCAAGTCGACCAGTGCCAAACCGTCCGCTTGTTCCCCATCTATGACGATACCACTACTGGACGCCACAGAGTGAGCCGTTTGCTTGTTGACTTCTCAGGGAGACCGGAATTGAGACCCAGCCTCAACTGCGTGTTACGATGTGGGTGCCGTATCGGTGCATACCTTACGCTCCGAAAGCCATCATGCTACCTTGTTGAATTACTGCGTGGCTTTCTTTTCTCACAGGTCCAGAACAATTTTTGTTTCTCCAACGCTCTTCAGGAGTAATACGCTCTTTCTCACTTTCGCTCCTACTCGCTATGAAACATGCGATAAAACAAGCAGGATTGGAACATGTGTACGGAGTAGAGCGAATCACATGTGCAGTACAGTTCGTTACTCAATCTAGCAGGCACTTGCATGCTAACGGAAAGTAACGAGGCGAGATTGCGAATGCAAGATCCTACGACCCGGGCCGTCTGTTATTAGAGGTATTTAGTTCGTATGAGGTTCGATTCCTACTGGCGCTGGTACAATGGTGTTGCGGTGCTTTTTATTTCTCCATCGTACCTTAACAGCCGTCGGGCACCCCGCATCCTTGTTAGGTAAAAAAATACGTGTAATTTACCTTCTCATGCTCGCTACAATACACGCTATTAAGGCTGAAAACTACCCTGTGCATGTGACGAAGTAGAATCTGTATGTATTTTCTCACGGCTCCTTTGCTTCAAGTGCGCAGCTCTTTCCTAGCCTTTCCTATTCCCAACGAGAGATTGAAAGCCCAACATGAGGCTCAAAGACCACTCATCTGTATCCGTCGCGTTTGGGACGATTCTTTTCGTGGCCTCCTTCAGATTTCTTTTTTCAACCTTTCAGTCGCGGAGTACTATTTGGAGTCTTAGGGCTGTTATATCATCCAGGCGGGGTCTTGGCAACATCTATCTTGCAGACATTTACCAACCAATGCCACCACGGAACCCAATAATTGGACATTTAGACTTTTGCTACAAGGTTGCGTGTACCCTGCCCAAAACTGCACATCCTCGTCACCTTCCCGACATCATTCGACAGACACTGCCAGACCTTGGCCCCATCTATTACTTGGATACCTAGCCCTTCGGTCCTTGCTGGTCGTGAGGTCTGTTGAAATATCAGGTATGTGTTGTGTAGAACAGATGGATTAATTTCTCCAGATCTCTCCGGGGCCAGGTCCTAAGTACAGTACAAAATCAGGTGGCTGGGAAACACGGTGGCTGGGAAGCGTGGGGGCCAAATTTCGACAACGTCTACCAGCTGATTACATCAGTTCACCCAGGGACATCAACGCACCCAGAATACCATGCCCTGAAATACTTTCTCAAACCCATTATGGAGGGGCTGGACATAGTCACAATGGAGGGAGACTTGTGGAAGAATTGGAGAGGAATCTTTAACCCAGGATTTAGCGTAAATCATCTGATGAACTTAACTTGTAGTTTAGTGGAGGAGCCGGACAAGTTCTGTGATATTCTACGAATATGCTCGAAGGACCAGAAAACCTTCTAGATGAAGGATTTGACGGACAATCTGACTATGGACGTCATTGGAAGATTTGTTTTTTTGGGACACTTCTTTGGAAGCTTTCCTCCTTCACTGACATACTTACAGAGACAAACAGCTCGACTCTCAAAAGCAAAACAATCCTTTGGTAGATGCTGTACGCATTCAGGTCCGCTAGTTGACTTTCGGGGCCGATGGCAATCCCATTACGAGAGACAATCCTATTCACCTTTTGGTTCACTGCTCTAAATTACGGCGAACAAACAAATATGTCTCCCGAGGAGTAGACAAACGGGTCGCCCAACTTCAAAACAAGAGAGTCCATTCCAGCAGAAGGACAAATCGATAATCGATCTAATCTTGACCACATACATTGCTGAATTTTCAACAAGAAAAACACAAGTCATGAACAGCACTTTCAAAAAGTTTACTATGCGTCAGATCGCATTGTTCCTTTTCTCCCGACATGATAAAACCAGCAGCACAGTCTGCTACGTCTTCTATGTTCTTGCCATCAATTCCACCATCCTCGCGCGTGTTCGCGCCGAGCACGCCTCAGTCATCAGCCCGGATGCCTCAATCATCGCCTCCCTAATCACATCAGATTGATGTCTACAGACAAAACTCCTAATACCCTTGCCGTCATCAAAGAAACGCTACGTATGTACCCCGCTGTCTCAAGCACCCGGGCAGGTGAGCCCAAATTCCTCGTGGTTGACGACGCCGGCCGTCTTTTTCCCACAAATGGCTTCCTAATCTAGGCGAACCCGCAGCCCGTCCACCGGGACCCGGCCTACTGGAAGCAACCCGACGACCTTATTCCAGAACGCTGGCTCGTGACGCCGGGCGACCCAATGTATTCCATTAAGGGAGCGTGACGGCCCGTTGAGCATGGGCCGCGGAACTGTATTGGGCAGGTGCTAGCGATGCTTGAGATCAAGGTTATCATGGTCAGGACCGCGAGAAGTTCGAAGTCGACCTTATGTATGGAGAGTGGGATCATGCGAAGAGCATAAGGACTGTGTATGGCCAGACGGGGTTACCAGATCCAGCGGGCACATCCGAGTGACTAAGGTAGTTAGCTAGCATTTGTCATCTGCCATCTTGTGAATGGGACGTGTACATTGACTCTTCTTTTTCAACAACGTCATTGATCTCATGAAGACGCCTCAGATCGGTTTCTTCAGTCGAGATGATGACGCACGTCTACTTTTCTCCTCAAAATACAGTCATGCTGCGAATTTGGGGTTTAGTCAGAAGGCTTCCTATGCATTTGTTCTTGGAATTATCGAGCGGATTCATCGGCGCGTAACAAAGACGAAGTTAGAACTTCTCATGCTCAACATATCACGTATTCTATGGCTTAACGTTCAACACTCTAGGTTGACTTTTTTCCAGATATTCATCAGCATCTCCATATTCTCTCAAATTCTCTAGTATGAAAGCAGCATCTTCCACCGCTTTCTCGCACACGGCTGGCGCGATCCACCATGGCTGGAGATTCCCTTGCCGATATTCTCAAGATCGAGAACAGTCTGAAGTCGGACCCAAGTCAACCATGTTGCATCTGTCTATAAGACTTCGAAACGCTCTCTCCTAAATTCGGAGTCTTCAAAGCTATTAGTCGACTTGCTCAAATTCATTTGAGGACTAGATTATCACTGTATTGTAGGTTAAGACGGAACTAAATATCCAAGGCTTAGAACGCCGGAAAAGCAACGAACCAGACCCAAGTCGACAACCGCAGACCAACACACAAGACCCAAAAGAATACTCCCAAAGACAACGAACCTGAGAAGTCCAGAAAGATCCCACATTAACCGAAGACGCCCAACCAGAGAGCAACAAGAAGACTCAGACCCCCCAGAAAAAGCCCAGCCAACACCAGAGCCCACGCACAAAAAATAGAAAATAGAGAAACCATCAGTTCTCCTGGTCTAATGAAGTACCACCAAAGTCTGCTGGTGGAGGGTGGTTCGTTGCCGTTATCACAGCCGGCACAGGGGACGCGAAGTTCGCATTGACTTTGATTTGGCGTCGGCGCCTCTGACCAATCTTCTTACATATCAGTTTGAGGCATGCGCAATCGAATGCTATTTTCACCTGCTTTAGAGCATTAAAGCTCAGTATACATTGCCACCTGCGCATATTCGAGCCCAAATTTCTCTTTCTCCCAAGGCGAAGAGAACAGTTCGCATCTTGGGGGGCTAGCCCCTGGTTGCAAATCGTAAAATATGCTCGAAACTAAGAAAACGAACCAGCATTGTTCCTATCATGGGTGTGGAGTACTCATCAGGCCGTTATGTTTGCTATCATATTCGAAGGCCTAGATATCTCATTTATTGTGTTTTAGCATTTATTTGTATTGTATTTTTATGTCTGTAGTATAGATATTGTCATTGGCAGCCAGCAATGAGCTTGTCGATTCTTTCAGTGTGCTTGCTGAGCATCTGTGTTCTCTTTTAGCTGACTGTCAGTGCTCTATATCATAATGATAGATGAGAAGGTATGTATGTGGATCAGTCGCAATGGCTGTGAAAGAAGAGGTGTTTCAAGAGGCATTTCAAACATACGATGAAGCCAGTAAATGCAGCCTCTGCTGTGCCAGTAAGGATGGGACAGCCAGCAAACAAGACGGTATTGCGGCGGTCGACCAGGCGATTGTTGTGAGCGATCGTGCCTGCATTTCTCGACATGGGGCCGATGAACGCCACGCGCGCGGCCGCGTCCATGAGGATTGCTTCGAGCTGCCTTGATTAAGAAGTGATAACTCTACCACAGATTCGATCCTGTACTTACGATGCGTTGAGGGTTGCAAATGAGTCTACTACGAAAGTCAGCATATTTTATATGGGCATGTCACGCGAACCATGAACGTCCTACAGTGGTGCCACAGAAACCAGTAGAGCAGAATTATCACAATGGTGGTTGCTACTGACAAAAGTGATCGATGGAAGGGCGAAGAAGAGTGACCATTGGATAACGCTGAGAAACAGAGTTTTACCAAATGCCAAGGGGTACCAGAGAAGGATAAATTCGTACTAGCCTCGGACTACGTGAAAAACTAATACATTAAATAAGTATATAAGCTCTTCAGCATCCTCGCTTGCAACATCTATCGCATCAAAACTCTGCTCGACACTACTGTGGGTCAAGTAAAGCACCGAACCTGTTTCATTCTCATCATCACCAAATCTGCAACATGTCCGCCCCCAAGTCCAGGGACCAAAGTGATCAGAGAACGCAAGCATCCTTTTCCGAAAAAATGCGATCAGCCACACCATCTCAAACACACCCCACAAAAACCCCTCGCCACTCACCTAACCCTCGAAACAAACACCACAAATCAGCGGACAGAGCCTCAACCGTTATCGGATCACGCATAGAAAAGAAGCGAACGGCCCACGGCAACAGGAACGCCGCTTCATCTCTAAGAGCCACAGCCTCCAAGGTCCTCATACGGGTGTTCATCAATAACCGACTCGGTACCAAAACCGAGATTCTGTGCTCACCATCAGATACTATTGGAGCGTTCAAAAGAATCGCCGCGGTGTATTTGGGCACGAGGCCCGAAGCCATGACGTTGAAGAGACAAGGCGAGCGCCCGTTCAAGGAGTCTTTGACATTGGAGGACTACGAGATCCATAATGGATCGGCTCTGGATCTTGAAATTGATACGTGTGATTCATAGGATTCTGCTTCTCACTTTACGGGTTTTCGGATAGAGCACACATTCACGGGAGTGTTCGATCGCTCAGTTGGTATATTACCGTTGGCGCAGGCAGGCGGGCGTTTTGTTTCTGGAGATAAGAGGGAATTGTCGAGTCCGTGTCTTGGGTTTAGGTAAAAGATGTGCCATAGAAATCAATTGAAAACGATTATCCACAGTCATCACATTCTAACCGCCCTTTGAAAAGTAGGCGATGGCCAGAGACAAGTAGTACGTATCCTGGTACGGGCTTGAAAAGGTACATCGACATCAACGAGGTTGAAAAGACCGACAAAGTTTTCTCCCCGCCAACGGCCAGAAAATCTTCACCCAGTGCTTTACGTACGCTAAAAGACCAACCCTTTCAAGTTCCTTTCGACCACTTCGAGCGCTCGAGGACGCCTGGTGACGCTTAGCACCACCATAAGTAGTTAGCCTATTGAATTATCACCACTTTGGGGATTGAAGAAACGCTTTGCAAGTAAGTTGGCAAACGTGGGATTGCACCCACATCGGACCTGATCTTCACCTCCCCCCTTCTACCCTTTTTCACAACAACCAAGCGTATGATTGATGGATGGCCTTCTGACTGTGACAAACCTACTTACGCAGGCAAGACGAAATGACAGACGCCGATCGATTCGATTTTCCGCAGGCGAATTTGCGCTCACCGAATTCCTTTCTGGTTATGGAATCCGTGGACTTGATTTCTCCGCCATTTTCTATAATCTGGATCGTCTAGCGTGACGAGCCGGTCATGGAATATATGGACTTGGTTTCACCGCCAATTTCTGCAATCTAAGGTAGATTGTCCAGCGCTGACGAGCCTATTACAAGGATCGGTATCCAAGTTGCCGGTGCCCGTCCATTTCGCATAACGACGCCAAATGTCCTAAGGGAACTACCGGGAGAATCCTTTCCCAGCAGTCGCCAGGCTGTATATGGGCTCAGCGTTACCACCCATTTGCTTATGGTTTCTCGTTGTCAGATTTTCTTCGCGCCGTGTGTTGTTTAGTGATCGATTTGCTAGGCATTTTTCGGCTCAGGATGAAACTCTGCAGGTTTCTGCTGAGAATCGAGATCAACATCTGCCGCGCCTCAAGAATCACCAGTCCGCGTATTGCCCCATACTCTACGTTCCTGCAGCTCACGTATAGGCAGGTGGGGTTTAGAATCGAACGGAAGGCTCCGAAGTTTTCAGGATCAATCGTATCTTTTTCCGTCAAAGGAAAAAATGAGACTTTGGATACTACTCATATTAGAGACGGGCAATATCTATCTCCTAGTCCATGCAAGCCAGAGGTCTGCTTTTGGCACGATCTGTGGATCTCGGTTCGGTTTTATTCATTCATGGCTTTTCATCGGGGGACTTTCCCATGACTTGTTCTCGATGAGTTGGCCAGGAGTCCTATTCTGGGTCCACCGAATCGAATCGATAGACCACTAGGATGGCTTTCTACGTGTGACAGACAACCAAAAAAGCCACGCTTTTCGATGTAAATTCTTATTGAGAGCTGAAGCCAAGCCTCTTTGGATGCAGACTGCGGTGTCCACCTGCCCAGAAGCCCGAGAAACCCCAAACAACCTTCAGCTGTCTTCACGGATCAGTGTGAAGCAGGCGACTACCAAATATATGTCAATGCCATGGCGGTGAGGAAACTAGACACAACGTGCGATGGGGGCGGTGATACCTGAGGAAAAAGGATAAATACCTCACTACTTCCATCCACTCCCCTCTTCACATCCACCTCTCTCTCAACTCGACCACCCCCCATCTCCGCACCAATCCCCTCTCAAACACATCAACCGCAGCCCACCATGCACCTCACCTCCCCCTTCTTCAACCTCTGTCGGAATAAGGTTCCCAGCCTCCTCCCAGCCACCTGTTGGAACAATCATCTAATTTGTGAGGGGTATAAATACTGGCCCAGGGGAGTCCTGAGATGGAATAATTCATGCAATCTACACACTACTTATTCTACCATACCTGATATTCTGACAGGTTATGAGCCCGGGCTTGACGCTTACGCTATTCTATATCTATTCTAGCCAATCATGGACCCCGAAACCTCCACATTCAAGTCACCTATTCGTCAGCTTACGGACAACAACTACTCTGAATGGCTTATCGATATCAAAGCTCTTCTTAGGGGTAAAAAGCTCTGGAACTACACTCAAGAGGCCCCGGATCCCGATAAATCAGTCACGGCCCAAGCCAAATGGCGTGATTCAGCAATGGAGGCTGCAGACCTTATTACCCCTACCATAAGTGGCCCCGTTAAGCAGAAACTTCAGGCTAACGCTTTTGACGATGGCTATCTTATGATGACCTCCTTGGCCAATATCTATGCCCCGAAAGGTGACGCCGAATTCATGCGATTAACCCGGGAGTATTACTCGCTCCGGTACGAAGATTTCGACTCTATGACCCACTATCTCACTCAAATCAAGACGCTCGAGGAGCGTATTCGCGATATTAATATAATTCTCGACGACGATAAATAAACTCTTCTATGTCTCGGCATGACTCTCCCAGAACGATTTCAATATTTCACTAAGATATGGGCTATGACGCCGGGGATGACTGCGGATAAAGCGAGAAATATGCTTCTGGAGGAAGAGAGACGTGAAAAGACTTTGGATACTGGTGCTGTGGGGGTGGGATTGGTTGCGACAACAAGACATCCGAGTAAGAGAACTTCTAGCGAAAAGGCTATCGACAATGATATAGTATATCCTCGCTATAAGAAGAGTCACGAAGCGAATATCTATTAGAAGTTACACCCGGAGTTAGCCCCGGAATGGCTACAAGAAAGGTGGACCATTAAGAAAAGATCTCGAAAGCGGAAATGGGACGAGTTACAACAGCAAGATCAAGAGGCACCAGGTGAAAAGAAAGCATTCATTAACTTATAACAACCAGAAAGGCTTATCGATGACGATCTAGGATAGACTTATCGATAACGGCCAGAAAGGCTTATCGGTAGCACCAGGAAGGGCAGCAAGAAAGGCACCAGGGAGGGCATGACATCATTTTTCTGTATAGCATCATGTTTTGAGTGGGCTAGGGGAGGCTGGTCACAGGGGAGTGTCGGAATAAGGTTCCCAGCCTCCTCCCAGCCACCTGTTGGAACAACCACCTAATTTGTGAGGGGTACAAATACTGGCCCAGGGGAGTCCTGAGATGGAATAATTCATGCAATCTACACACTACTTATTCTACCATACCTGATATTCTGACAACCTCCTCCCCTCTTCCTCGCCGCATCGACAGCCCACATCTTACCCGTGCCCTCTGCTCCCCTATCACGCGCTCCAGAACCGCACTCCGCCCTCTCCCGCCGCGACGTCAAGCTCTCCGGCTGCGGCGACATCCTCGTCTCTCAGGTCTCCGGCTCCACAACCAGCGTCAACGGCTGTCTTGACGTGAACGGGAAGTGGGTCACGGATGGCGCATGCGCGCGATATTTCGTCTATGGCGACGCCACCGGTACGACGTGCCCTGATTATTTGAGTAGAGGGTTCTTCACGGTTTCGTCTCTTTGGTTTTCTGGCTTGCTCGGCATAGCCCCACTGGTATAAGTAGAATACGCTGACCAGACTATGTTTGTTTAGGCGATTGGTTCGCGACCGATAACGACTACTGCAGCTTCGCCACCACGGGCGTCACGACTTTTGGCTGTAATAGCTACGTCGTCTCGCTCTTCCGCGTGAGCATTTCCCCTCCCGGTTTTCCCTTTCGGAAACCCCTTGCCCTCCCCCTCTTTCGAAAAATGGGTCATGTATCCTGACACAACGTAGCAACTCTCAGGCACGACCTATCTCACCGCCACGAACTACGGGCATCTCTTCAGCGCACAGGCCATCCCACAGTGCACCCAGGCGATAAGTGTGCAAGGGTACAACTCCGGCCTTACGGTCACGTTTAGCTACAAGCAGTTGGCGGCTAGTGCGTGTAACTAATGACCGGAACTCGTAACTTGAATTGGGTCATCGGATCCGTGCCTGACCGCAAACTCGGTGTATTTCCTTTGTCGCCAGTGATTGATTGCTGTGAATCGCACCATGGTTCCGAGACGACTTACAGGTGGATCCGCAGCGCATTTGAGCTCTTCACGCGTGGACGTGGCGCAAGCAAGCAAGCAAGCAAAGTATCCATCTATCCAGGCAGCATCTCGAGCTTCACTCATCACGTGGATGGCACCGATCGTCGAAATGCGACCGCTGGGTGAAATCGAAAAGTGTGCGCCTCTACAGCCACATGCCAAGCCATGGTCTGGCCATCCATCCTATGCCCGCCAAACAGGTCCTCAAAAGGAGGCGGATTGCATGGGCGAAAAGCCAGTTAGTAGGTCCGCACTTCCCGCCCGTCGTTGACGTGCTGGAGATGGAGCGTTGGCATTGGCGAGAAAAAGATAGTATACTTGTGCGCCGGGTTTGCCTGTTGAACAAAAACTATGGGATCAGGCTGAAAATTCCTCCTGTTGTTGTTATACGGGTTCCGTTCAGATGAAGCCTTACTCCGCATCATCAGCGGTCACGAAGGTTTTTGGGACTCAGCACTGCAAAAAAAGGTGATTCTTCCGGCGACACGCTTGGTACCAAAAGTTTGGACAAGAAGAAGAGACCTATTGTTACATCATTACGCCACGAACAAGGTTAATGAAATCCATAACAGTGTAGACTGTTCGCACGTCCTTTTTCCACGCCCGTAAGCGTTAATGTACCCTCTCATTTGTAGTTCATACAGCGCCAACCATGCACCAACGAAGGATCATGATCATTGTGTGACAGCCCTGACTCCTTGCAATACTAATGCAAACACCAGACCCCTTGCCACTTCGGGGACCTGCAAACAGTCGAAAACCCTGCCCAGCGCCTCTCCACTAGCCGCTGCTCCCATGACACTGGTCAGAGCCTGCGGCATGCCTTTTCCTACAAGCAGCTTCCTAGCCTTTACTCTCATACGCTCTTTTGCCTCTTCGCTTGGTGGTGCCGGCCACGCCTTAAGCTCTTCTTCTGTCGGTAACGCGTTTTCTCGTAGTTTGTTGAGATGAGTGGCTATGCCACTGTCAGATGTATTGGCGTCGATAATGGTTTTTTGAAGCAACACGCGAATGGCTTCGAGGTTTGGGTTACCAGGACGGAGCAGAAAGGACTTCGCGGCGTTTAGGAGGGTGAGGCGGAGAGTCCATGCGGAGGAAAGAGCATAAAGTTCGTTGATTGTGGCGAAGAAGAGCTCTACTGCAATGCTCGTTTCCTGGCTGGTCAGGGGTAGAGCAGTTCGAATAGGCGGCGGCTGTTTGGAGGTGGGAGCGGGTGGCTCGCCAGGTGTGACGGAAGAAAGGGTACTCTCCCGGGATTGTGAAGCTTGCGTGGTAGGGGCGGTGCTTATGGATGTACGGAAAGTGCTGCTGTCATCATTGGAGACTGATGGCCGAGGCGACCCTTGCGAAAACTTGTAGTCATCAGCTATCTCGCTAGGCGGAGGTGGTAGGTGAAGTTCATTCTCCTCGTCATGCTGTAGAAATGCTGGAATGTTGTCTTTGGACCGCACTTCTGACGGTACCCCATCTGCTGGATGGGCCGCGCTGACTTTGAGATCCAATTGATGGTCAGGTGCGGACTGGCTGGGTCGACGAGGCAAAGGAGGTGGTTTCATGCTTTCTGTTTGGGCATTGGCCGAGGAGCGTGGACTCTCCTGTGATTCTCGTTCCTGGACGAAGCTTGGTCTCGCCAGTCTATCACTGTCTATATGGGGCAACGCTGAGGTAGAACCATTCACTGATCGCGGTACTGGGCTCTTGGAAGTCTGCTTTCTCTGCCCAATAGACCCTACACCCCCCAAGACGCCAGTGACGCCGCCCAGGAGAGCTTTGCCGCCACCAGCGGCTCCTTTCGGGGCGCTGGAAAGCACATCAAGCATGCCTTTGCCCATTGTCTCGAACGCTGCTGGACTCGGGAAACCGAAGCCGCCCTGCTTCGCAGTGGGAGATGATCGTCCGAGACCTTGATCCTTCTCCAAAAACCGCTTCATGCCTTCGCTTTCGGCCAATCGCTGGAATGACAGCGCACTGCGAAGGTAGAATTCCAGCTCGGAACGCAGAGCAGATTTAGTCTTATTCTTCCAAGCCGGCACAGTTGGGTGCCTTTCTGCGAAAGCGGCAACTCCGGAAATTACAGATATGCGCCGTAAGACTTCATGCAGTGTCTCAAAGTCCGAATAGATACGTGCAATCATCCAACCTGGATATTGAGATGTGGCAGGTTCGATTTGCAGTAGGTACTCAGCTGTAGGTTTCGATCGCAGGTTACCTTTCTCCCCAGGTACAGAATCGTCAAAAATGGAGACGCTAGCGTTGTATAGGCTCAATGGTGGCACTTCGTATGACTGTGTCTCTGAGTCCTTCAGAGCAGTCGGCTGCTGCGAGGATATTATTTGATCAAATGTTGTGAAGCTGGGGCTTGATTCTGCGATCTTGGACTCGAAATCCGTTCCTGTCTCGTCATCAGCAGCTAATGCTGAGGAAGAGCTGTTGGCCATTGCTGAGAGATCATCTCGCGAAGATGTGGGCGTTGCGACAGCGTCGGTGGTCTCCCCAGAAGATAAAGATTCTTCGGAAGCTTGCTGAATCTTGACGTCCTCTGCAGCAATCAGCTCGCTGAGTCTTTGCGCCTCTTCCATGGCTTCGTCCATAGCTTCTTCCGCCCTGCTGACCGTTCTTTTGTGCTCAGTCTTCGCTTGCGTCTGAGCATCAGGTGACTCGGCAGACTTGACTTGGCTGTCAGATACTCCGTTTTTCGCTGCCTCAACGGCGCCTTTGACATCTCCATTAGCAGTAGCTCCTCCAACGCCTGCATCTATGGCTTGGAGAATCTCAGTATCACTTTCCTCAAGACCGTAGATGATCCATTCGTTGATGAATTCTGGTTTTGAGCAGCTCGTCACTGTCATTTCAAGGATCACACTGGCCAGAATCTCTCGCAGGAACACCGACACCGGTTCACATTCGTACACCTTTCGGTCCAGGAATGTATGTAGTATGTCCTGAGCCACTGCTTTGAGTTTCTTGTTCTGTTGTTCGACATCTAGTACGTTGGCGAGACTGCTGCTGGGGTTGGCCTCTAGGTAACGGCGTACAGATTCTGATGCACCGCCAGAGGGTGCCGGAGACTTGAGCGCACTCGAAAGCTCGTTAAGGAAGACAATGACGATGGATGAAGAATTTGTCACGAATTCTAGGAACGTGTCTGCGGGTCGCTTGCGAGATAAATGGTTTGATATCGCCAGCAGAAAGCCGGTCAACGTCTGTCGGCAGGCGAGTGGGAAGGCGTTCTCCAGAGGAAGGACCGGCGAGTACCACCATTTTACATAGTCGCGTATAATAGTGTCAACCAAATTGATCAAAGCACCCTTCGTCTCGGGTGGAAAGCCAGGAAAATCCAGCTCCTTCTGTGAGGGTGCGGCAGTTGGCGCATCCCGCACACCGTCAAGTTCACGGCCCACTTCTTTTCTCTCCTTCCATTCCAATACCCTCATAACAATATCGAGACCCTTCTTCCTCCTCTTACTGGCTTCCAGTGCTCTGGCTTCGTCATTCGCATTGTTCTCAATATCCCCTTCCCATGTAGCATGTAATACCACTCCTCCGACAATGCCTATCAAGACAAGCCCAACCCTTCCCAGTACCAGCCAGGTGACAGCCCCAAGTCCAATGATGCATGCTCCAAGGGTTTCATTGCTGGCATTGGAGAGGAATTCGAGGCCTCGGGTTGTCAGATCTCGGGCCTGGATGGCTATGCGCTCCGAGGTATCCTTCTCTTGCGGAAGCTCGCGGGCTCGAGTGTTGTCGACGGAGCCAGTGGTATCCATAGGTGCCTCAAGATCATTGTGCTTCTTATATCGCGCGGAAGGCTCTTGATATTTACAAAGAACTGTCAACTTTGGAAAGAGCGTTCCTGCGACGGGGCTGAAAAGGCGCGCGGAAAGCATTCCGCAGGTCAAAAGAATTTGACCCGAGGGCTCATTGTTCAGTCGCAACGCGATACCAACAATGGCAAAATGCGTGGCATGTCACAAACCCTTGACCTTGTACATTGCGCCTGACGAGGAAGATGAAGATGAAGATGAAACGATGGGAGGTTCTGCCAGTGCGAACACTGGCTCGTACGTCGACGATGATGTGCAATTGCAATGTGGGTGCCATTTCCATTGGTCTGTTCGCCTTGTCTCACTCTATTGGATGGGAAGATTCTTAATGCTGACGTTTGGGTCATGTAGGCAATGTCTCCTCGACTCTTATTCTATGTCGGAATGCCCCAATTGCGGAAGAAACCTCATAACGAGTACACCTTCAGGCGAACAGCAGCTGTTGTGCAATCTCAAGAATGAAGGGGGCCTACAAGAGAGGCTCGACATGCTTCCAATCCTCACTGAAGAAAGTTACTTGAAAGCCTACCCCGAGGAGAGGAGGTGTCGAGCTTTTCTAGAATTCTGCGGAGAGGGCGATGCTGAGGCGATAGTTGACCTCCTCAATGACGACGCTGGAGAAGAGGACGAGGAGAGTTCTGGTCAAGGTGAAGGACACAGTATAGATGTCTTGAGGTATCAGGATCAAATTGGATCAATGGGTTCAGGCCTGCACGTTGCTGTTCAGAACCAGAGGATGGAGGTAGCATGGCTTCTTCTGCTTCTCGCTTCGACCCTGAAGATAGACCAGATTCCAGCAAAGGTTCTTCAGGCCGCACATACTTCTGGGATTCAGAGAGAGGATCAGAGGGGGAAAGTCGATATACGCTTGTTGAAAGACTCTCAGGGTATGACAGCCGAGCATCGAGCGGCTGGCATTGGAGGATTGTGGACTGAATGGCTTCAATCAGGTCGGCTAAAACCGCCAGCGAGTTGATTATACGACACATCATGGGAACAACGGTTCGATGGAAGCTTAAGCGCAGCATAGACTCAGAATTTGGACACATTTAAATCTATTCCCACTCGAATTGCCGTAGCGTCATTGCTTTCGCTCCGCCAGGCATCTAAAGCTAGAGTGGAGCTTGATATTCGCAATCCGAGTGAAGTCTAACGCAATTGATATCATACGTGAGACGCAAAGAAGAATGCGGTTTCCCCCCGATCTCTCAATCCTGACCGCAAGAGTAATAGTCCCATCATTGCTTCACATACTTGGTATGCGAGCCCATAGAAACGACACTGCCGGCACCATCCTCCTCAACCTTGCGAATCTCAACAGACGTAAAAGCCAAGGTCCCTCCCACCTTATCGGCTCGACCTTCGATTTCAAGCACGTCGCCTTCTTTGGCAGTGGAGATGAACGTGGTGTGTATGTCCGTCGAGACACCAGTTTTCTCACGGCCATAAGTTGCGATTGCCAGCCCTCCGGCCCAGTCGGTTAAGCAAGCGGACACGGTTCCGTGTAAGGTGCCTTTAGAATTGAGATGGCACGGTTTTACATTGAGCCTCGCAGTGACCACGCCTTTGGATGCGGAGACAAGTGAGATGTCAGAAAGGAGGAATTCATAGATGGGGCTGTTCCTCCGCATATTGGCCCAGTACTTTTGGATGTGAAGGAGTTCGCCGGTTGTTGACTCGGTTGAGCTGGCCATTGTCAGTTGATTGGGCTGGCTGCCCTTTCGTAAGGATTTTGGTCGAAATTTGCACAAATGAACAGACTTTGCCAATCGGGTGAGCGCCGCTTCGTCCGATACGGCAAGGTGGTTACGCTAGATCTCAATGGGGTACTCGTTTCCACCCCCATTTGCACGTTACCCCCATTTGCACGCTCTTTAAAACCGATAAATCCGACGCAACACCAAAATGCCTACCTTTCACCAAATTTGTATGGCAAACTAGCACAATTAATGATAGTCTTTTATTTCTATCCAGGCTTAAGATCGGAGAACCCAAATCACCGTTTTTTGGGCCTTATCGGCCTACCATGTCTTGAAAAAACCATCACTACCTCTTCTTCTACCTCTTCTACCTCTTCTTCTACTACCTCCTCTTCTACTACCTTCTTATCTCTTCCACCTCTTCCACCTTTTCCACCTTGCTGCGGTGAAGCCTCTGATGGAGCCTCCGGTGGAGCCGGTGGAGCCCGCCACTGTGGCGGAGCAGCTCCTCGTCTATCTCGCTGTTGTTGCTGTGGTGGAGCGAGATTTAGTGGCATCAGTGGGCCTGGTGTGGGAGGTGCAGTAGCCTTTTTCCTGACAGGACTTCTACCTCTCTTCGTGTCTTCAAGAATAGCTGGTCCGAGGTGACACCTACTATGCCAGGCCTACAGATGGCGACTATGGTACCGTAGCATTGGCCATTATGGTAGACTATGGTGGTAGGCCATTTGAATGAGTGGTAGTGGTAGCCATGGTAGTGGTAGCTATCTATGTCGGATTTATCGGATTTAAGAGCGTGCAAATGGGGGTAACGTGCAAATGGGGGTGGAAACGAGTAAGACGCCATATAACGAAAAATCAAGAAGTTTATGTAAATTTCCTAATCTTTATTTTTACAGTAATACGGTTCTTCAACTCTCTCCTTTATGAATGTTTTGATGCACCACTGCTTTTCGGTAGGGAGCCAAGCTTGTGAGACTCGCCACTTTTTCGACAACGTGACTTGGATGTTCTGGACACGATAGAGGGAAACACCCGCCTGGTGCCGCTGGCTGATGCTGAGGAGCGTCTCTATAGGACAATCGCAGTTTGATGGATGCACTTGACTAAGTACCAATCATGGTGTCTATAACTTCTCGTGTCTCATATCCATTTCTTTCCACATTTCCCGCATACTTCAGCTCATGCCGTAATCCTACACGTCACGAAATGGCAGTTTTTCCCCCACATATCTTCCTGTACCACCCCTATCCTTCGACCACGATCCCGGGGCGTGGGTGTATGCTCGCCTCGACTGACACCCTTGTGCAGAGTACGAGCTTCTCTCACGTCGAGGTTGTCTGTACTGTGAGGGAAGTTCCCTCACGTTCTCGGCTGCTTGTCTCCGGCGTTCTTCACCAGCCATGCTCTCAGAACGAGGTGGGGATGCAAAGTGGACATGCTCCGATGGTGCCGGTATGTGCCTCCACTGTCTGCTGGTTGTTCTGGTGCTAGGTGCTTCTTCGTGGGGCCTAGAAACCTGCTGTGCGGTTGTACGTCTTGGCCTATTCTCATCTGATTCTCGCGCGCGATGAAATAACGTACTAGGCAGCTCGTCTGGTGCTTGTGACGCTCTGCTGCGAGACCGAGATCTATGTGTTTGACGCGGAGGTTGACGAGGCCGCTCCATAGACGTGTAGTCATGGGGAGACCACGGACGAGTCAGTTTGGAATGCATTGCTGGGACCATTGAACATTGAGAGCTGCGGTGAGAAGGTGAGGGTAGTTCCGGAATCGTTTGTGCAGTTGAGGCTTCCTGGGGAGCTGGCGGTTGGTTGTTCTGTGTCTGGTTTACATGTATATGTATTCCAGGTTGCGATACATGCGCATGCCCTCCGTCAAGATTTTGGTCATCACGTGCCGATGCCCGCTCAGCATCGCATTCACATCTCTTCTCAGACTTCCGCCCCACGTCACTCCGGTCTTTTGGTGCCTTACTCTCACACAGCTTCTGCATCTGCTCAACTTCCTTCTTTGATTCGCGTAGCGCTAGATTTAGCTCCTTCCGCTCGCGCAGCCATCCCGTATGCTGGAGTAATAGATCCAGCTCACGCCAAGTCAGGTGTTCTTGGATAATAATATAGTCCTTGTCATTCTACGCCACTATCAGCCTTGTTCCACGCACATAGACCAGTGGACTAAGGAAGAGAAAACTGACGTTATCCCAAGTCCAAGCCAAATTATATTCAGCCAAAGTGTCTCGACTAAGATCCTTCCAGTGGACTCTCGGCAATGGTGGTGGACCGTCCGTGCTTCGAACGGTCTCTCGTACAGATGACCGTGGTCCTTTAGTGATTTGTTGATCATCACGGACTGACCTGCTGGGAGACGAAGTCCTGTAAGATTGGCCAACTTGGCCATCCAAAGGATTTTGATCACGCGGTCCTAGTAGTACATCAAATCAGCTCTCCAAAAACCTAATGATGATATGATCGACATAAAATTATGAATGGAGTCATCACAGTGTCGATAGGGATATGCGCGATAATAGGAAGGCCTAGATATGCCCAACACTCCAGCAAACAAAACTAAACACAACACATACCACTCTTTTCAACCCTCCTCACCACCCGCTTCCGCCTCTCAATCTCCTTATGAACATCGCCAAGGCCGGCAACCCTCATAAAGAACCCGGTGAGTGGCGGTGTCATCGCGATGACCGCAAACGTAACCAAGGTCGTGTAACCGGACAGGAAGATATAGTCGTGCTCGAAGTGCTGTGGAGGGATAACAAGAAATGTAAAAGACTGGGGATCTCAAGTGTCAGAAAGTGGAAGGGTTTGGTTGAGTTTGACGTGTGAAGTTGAACAGTTGGAGAGATGCTGTGAGGGCCGTCATCGTATAAATAGAGCCCACTCCTTCACGCCCTTGTGTTGAGCTCTTAGTCTGGTGCGATTTTTATCAACACCCATGCTTAGGAAAAGGTGTCAACACCAAAAACTAGGATATGACCACGTCATTTTCAAGAGCGCCATCTCTTCTTCCAGCCCTCCTTGTGCAGCCTTGGAGCACTGCACAACATGCACATTACTAGAATCTTTCAACACCATAGTGAGACCAACGGTCACTTGAAATGAGCAGCAAAAGGTGGAAATATATATATAGAAGCTTTCTGTACCTAACTTCGATGATACATGGAGAGAAAAGATAATGAGGAGAGTGACGGATGTGCCCAGAAGCCTTTATATGTGCTGAAAGCCTGGAATACAGAAAATCTCAACGGACAAAGTGAAAGACGCACTTAGCAAACACAACACGTTGAATACCACAAAGCGCACGAATAGCAAGCGCAGAGGAGATGAATAGCAAAGGAAAAAACCTGTCTCTACATCGTTATCAGTCCGGTAATCACGCAAAAGGGAAATGCTGCTGCTTCTACAAACCACTTTAAAAAACTTCGCTCTTTGCGTTGAAAACCAGAACTCAAACGTCTCATCCCCGTGCGTGACTTCTGCTTCAATTTCTCACATCCTGGCTTTCTACCACCTCCCCTGATGCTCCTCTTCTATCCACAAACATCCCCTACCCCTTGAAACACTGTCAATACGTAATCAAGTACCCCCTACCCACAACATCCCAATCGTCCCTCCTCGTCCCCCCATCAATCTCCAACGCGAAAAAAAACTCCCTCGTGTCATACTCATCCACAAACTCCAGCATCAGATACAGCGCATTCTTCCACTCTTCCCAAATCACCACCTTATCCGGATGGAAGTTCAACGCTACATTCGCGCTGGTATAATCGAGATCGCTCACATCGATAGGGGCGAGCATAGGATGGTCACGCGTGCTCAGGGCGTAGTCGAGAGCTTTGTAGAGACAGACGTCTGCGAGGCCTCGGGAGATGGAATCGCCGTAGCCTTGAAAGATGACTGCGATGGGCGGTTGGACGAATTGGTTTACCAGTCTAAGAGGGTCTTTGGGGCCGTGTGAGTACGTCATGTTTGGTGACAGCGTTGAGTTTAGTTGCGCGATCTCGGACGGTGGTTGGATCAGAGACAGGGGGGGAAGTGCGATTGCGTCTTTGGAGACGAGGAGCACGAGGCTAAGGTATAGCAGTATCATCGACATCACCGTGGCGTTCGTCGATGGACCGGGCCGTCTTTGGGATGGAGCGTTTCATCCAGTGTGCGAGGGGTGAGAAAGCGCTTGTAGGCCTCTCATGGTTTCCGCGCGTGGGCATGTCGCTTCTGGGCCTGTTCCCGCACCTATATAATCTTTCCACGGTGGTGATACAGTCAGCGACCGTCACGTGCTTTCGACTGCTAGCATACAAGTGCTCATAGTTCAACAGGGTAAAAGATTGGGTCTAAAACAGCGACGGAAAGAGTCGATTGCGGTTATCCCATTAGTACGTTCGCTCTGCTCAACAAAATGGATGTCGAGCGCTTCGAGATTGTCGCTGTGAACTCACACGAGCATATCGTCGGTCTGGTGAGTGAGCTTACCCCCGACGTGGGTCGCGACCCTCGATTGTCTGCTTGTGATGAGCTCGGCTCACATGTGGATGTCGAAGATCTGATGAGCGAGCTGACCTTTTGAAATTGGTGGTGGACATGCTTGCATTAACGACGCGCAAATACCTCCTACCGTACACAATCAAGTCTTGATCCAGAACGGTACCTTTCTTCGGCAACATAGCTGCTGTGTTGCATGAGTGCTACGTTTGTACGGCTTTCTCACTCAGATATCTTCGTGCCAATTCGAGATCCGTGACTGCGCGATTTCGAGGGATGCGTTGGCCGTTCTTCTTGAGAAAAGCGCTCAGAGGATTGGTCGAGGGAAACTTCTCGACAGCGAGCAGGTGATGAGCCATGATTTTCAGGTCTAGAGTGTTAGAAAAGAATCGGGGCTCGATGCGAGGGTTGCCCTCTAGGTTTGCTGATACGATGTGAGAACTCCCACGCGATAAAAAAGGATACTCTACATAACACCAAGACTAGCAAAATCAAGTAGGCCAATGATAGTCATGAAAATGCTGCAGGAAACTTCGTATGGACTGCCGAAAATGACGCGCACGGTCTCGTAGAAGTCCTTCTCGTTGAGCATTACGGGCGGTGCGTCATCGAACATCTCTGTTTGCTATACACAATTCGGAAGAGGCAGACCTCCGACTTTGACACCATGGCCAAGCTCAGATGCGCACATACAAATGACATGACTTTACAGGTTTTCACCCACATTGGCATTCTCGATGACGAGGGATGTCGAAATTTCTAAGTTGGCTCGGCTCACTTATACGGGATAGTCTAAGCAGTTTCGTAGTAAGGAAGGTTCCAGCTGATAAGATCACTTCTTCGTTCGCCGCAATCGAACAGGTCTCGCGATCAATGGACACTTCAACACCTTTGGCGATGCTCTTCGCTGGCGAACAGCCTGAAAACAGGATTTTGAGCACTGTTGCCTCTGTGATAATGATAAGATTGGAACGTTTGGAGGCCGGGCCGCCATATTGTGAGTCTGCAGATACCCCTTTCTTTGTCAGCGGGTCAATGGCAGCTAGATAGCGTCGACTCCCTACACTCTGCGTGGGGAAGAGGTCAGATTATCAAACCCTTACTCCAAGCTTTAGCCATGGGGGTCTTTGGGGCAAGGCTGAGAACGGAAAATTGGATCAATCATTAGGAGAAGCCATTGTGTCGGTGTCGCTGACACGGTCAATGCCCACGACCTTGCAAATGTTTGCATCTCGAGTAGTCATACTTGTGCAGTGTACGTTGGTTGGAAGCGATGAGGTTCTGCGGGACACAGACGAAGCAGGTACTCCGAAGGGTCGGGAGTTCTTCGCATCCTCACGGAGAAACGCAGTCGGCCGTACCGAGGTCACGCCATGTTGGCGTTACGTTGTTGGCCAAATGATGTGTTATGCGCCCTCTTGGTCGCACGCAGGGCGCCGAGTCATGAAACAGTCATCAATGATAAACCCCTTCGCTCCTAAACACCCACCTTTACTTCACACTTCGAAAAACAAGAAAGAGCCATGTAACCACATTTCCCTCCCAAGTGCCGACTTGGCAGAATGATACCTACGCCGCCATCTCACCCCAACGCGCTGAGCTTAGCAGCGCCAGGAAGACCGTCTTTATCACTGGTGCTGTGAGTCTCACTCTCGCACCGCGCTGATCTCAAACAGACCTGACAAATCCTACATCAAGGGAAGTGGCACTGGCTGCGAGGCCACTATAGCGTTCGCTGCCCCGGCGCCAAATGCCTCGCCCTGATCGGCCGCACCGATTCCACGCTCTCGGGCAAAACAGTCTCTACGAGCGAGCAGAAACAGCACAACCTGCTGGACCTTCCATGCCGGAAATCACCGGCGACAAAGTCATGCATCAGATTGCCGCTCAAGTAGGCACATGGAACATATTCATCCTGAACGCCGGCCACCTACCCAATCCCACCTCCGTCGCATCCGCCAATCTCTTCGATTGCTGGACAATCTTAACCTACGAGGTCCGCTCCCATTCTCTCTTCCCTCAATACTTTCCAATCAAACCCTCACATAACACGAATAACAGCATCCCGACGCAGACGAACGCAAAATCCGTCGTCATAGCCGCCACCGCCTTCCTCTCCACGGCCAACAAAATTTCTTACACGATCCACCTCCTTTACACCCCCCACCTTTCTACTCCTTCGTCAGTGTCCGTCGTCACTCCGACAACCTGACCGGTTGTACTTGAGAATTGAATGACCTAGGTTAAGCAATGGAAGATCATGTGATGTCTTTGTTCCCGACTTGAGGAGGTAAATTTTTCGGCTGGACATGACAGCATTTGATCCAGCCGGACTCGAAAGATTGTATGGCCCTGGCGAAAATAACGACGAGATATCGAGACGTAGCGCTCTCGATACGAAAAAAGCGCTAAAGTAGTTTTCATTCATCATACTGATCATTGGCTGTATACGCCTCTGACCGCAACCCCAGCGCAACCATCTCACAGGCTTGGATCAGCCCAAACCTGGACCTTTACCTTCTTCTGATCCCAAGGCAGAAAAATGCGCTTCTGAACCTCGAAGAGTCTATGGCATGTCTGTCCAATAATCAAGGCCCTCAATGAGAACAGTCATTGAGAAAAGCGACCGGCCGTTGAAAGCGTAGCGTTCCAACGGATGAGGAGCACACAAAGAAGAAAGCAAGCAAAGCGTGCACTGGCTCCCGCGCCCAATGACCTCGCCTCTTCGGAAGCGCTACGATGAAACCTTTGAGAATCTTCCATGTCGTGAAGCTGCTAGACCTTCTAAAGGTGGCGCTCGAGCACGCAACAACGCTCGGCGTCACAGCCGGCGCCTTCTCGTCTTCCCGCCCGCGAGTACGCCTGGTCTATCGTCGTATCTGACCTCGAAGATGGCGATGCTGAAGACGCTGGAGTTCCTGGCGGCGGAGAACCCGAGCGTTTCTGTGGCGAGCGCGCATCCGGGAATGGTCGATACAGGGTTCTTTCGAAAGTCTGGGCGAAGCCTGCGATGTGTCCTATGATTACTGGTGAGTTAGTTTACGAACCATTGTTAATGAATTGCATGGAGTGCTGAGACTTTATTTTTGTTCCTGTCCCCGAATTTTATGACTGAAGGGCCAGAAAATTTCCCCTGTTCTTTTCTCGTTTTTTCTACTTCAACGCGGAATCTACGGTGCTGATTTCACGTATCGCTTATTCTAGCTAAACAGTCCGCCTATTTCATGCCGTGGCTCTCAATTTCCGGAGCGGCTTACCTGTGAAGAAAGTTGGTGCGGGCAAAATGGGCTGTGGAGGAGTTAAAAGCTGTTAGGGCGAAGATACGAGACGGTTCTCGAATGACCGTCGGTGTTGAAGGGTGGCCATTTGTAAACATATCACGAACGACGTGGTAGGAAGAACCATTTCATACAACATCTTACATTGCCATGGTCCACCTGCTTTCAGCTATGTGGCTAATATCCCTCATATCTACACTGCGGATCCAACTTCCTCCCCGGTCCCAACACCGCAGGCAACGAGGGGCCTGATCATGCAGGATCGTCACACCTGCAGGTATGGCTCGGCAAAGACATCGTACTGTAACTGACGGTAATCGCATCCTGACCAATCGCTCCATTGATCCCCATGAAAACCGCTAACGGAATCTTCGTCCTTCCCCGTGCCCCCATCTTCCCCCCAACGTATATTAAGCCTCGCCGACTCTTACAAGGACCCTTCCCCCTTTTTACGAAACTCAAGAATACGAGAACGATCACTTTGAAGGCTGGTGACGCGAGCGTCGGTGAGCTTGCGCCCATCATGCCCAAGCATATCTCCGGTTTGGCTTTGTAGTGTGGTGAGGTAGAGTTGGTACTTCGCCTCCGAGTATATCCTCTTCCGTCTTCTTTCTTTTTCGCTCGGACCGTGCTTTGGATCCTCCAGCCCATCCACGAATAAATCCTATGATCCGAATTCGCAACATCAGCCATTCAATTCCTTCTAGGAAGCATGCGAGGGTAGATCTAACCCAGCCCAGCCCAGCCCAGCCCAGTGCGACGATCGACTTACCCAAAACCACGAGTGCACAAGCATAGCTCACGCCTATCTCCTTTCCTTATTTTCTAAACCCATCGATCAACCCGCAGCGCCCAGCTCATCGGCAACAGAAGCGCGACGACGGATTACCAAATCGAGAGCCGTACTTATGCCGACGGAGACGTATATACTCCTTCTGATGATAGAACCGCCTTCAATGTCCGAGCGCGGTAGTCCATGACGCAGCGAGTCGATTCCACTGCGTCCGAAAAGGTTAGGAATAAAGACGACGATGGCATACCTACGACACGCATGCGTCCATCCATTTGCACAGGGTCAATTTGATATACATCTTTTCGGGAAGACGGTATTGTAGAAACCGAGCCCGGCCCGTGTGCAGGAGATTGCGGCGGGCGGTTGTCCAGCTGGAGATGGTGGTCGAGAGATACCAGCTGTGAGCAATGTGAGCAATGTAAGCTGTCAAACGACAAATCCCGGAGTATGTAGCCGTCCACCCTGGCTCGAAATCCTTTCCAACCCTGTATCCAGCCCGTACTCATACCCATCACGCGATGTGCACCTGATCCATCAATCCATTGGGCAATACGAGTAGCTTACTGACGGCTTCGAGCAAAGGACCCGGAAAACCCCCTCCCCACTTACCCTGTCCCTCGCATCGCATCGCATCGCATCGCATCATCTACAGATCCTTTCCACAATACAACATACGTACCGAAAAGACAAAGCTAGGGAGAAAATGTTCCCAAAGCAGGATATTCGCCAGGTCGAGGCAGCTGCTAAAGGTTATGGTAACTGGCAGGTAAGCTAATCCTACTTACTTACCTACCTACTTACTTACTTACGCAGAAGTAGACGACTTACTAGACGCACACCCAACCCCGTCTGAAGTGTGTGGGGGCATCTCACCCGCATGCATGCTTACGGGCTAAGCTTGTCTGGTTCACTGCGGATGCTGCAGTGAGGAAATGCGGGGACTTTGGTGTGAAAATGGGGGAGGGGGGGTGATGAAAGGCTCTGCATTAGTCTCCGTACGCTAATGCAGGTGTTGTAAGCGGCCATGGGATATAAGTAGTGCTGGATGTAGTGGAAGGAGAAGGGATGCGATTTATCTGGGGTTTGTTGCAAATGTATACGAAAGGGTCCTCAAAGGCAGATCGCCTGAGTAATGTGGATCACAATTGGACACTGGGATACTTCTAAGAGAGATATACTGATTCAGGTAGCGACCAAAATGAGGTAAGGTAAGCCAAAACACAAGACCCGTGCCAACTCCAGGTTCGCTCGACAATCCGGCCCCTGTTAATCTTTTACCCATCTATATATTGTTTTACCGTTGGCCCCCACAGCCACCTCTCCCGTCCGAATTTCAGCTTCCCGCTGCTGTTTCTCCCGGCGGTCTTGCTTTTCCTGCCACTTCTTCCGCTGAGACTCCGCCCGTTCCTGCCGTTCCAGCCTAAGTCTCTCGTGCTCGGCTTTTTGCTCTCGGCGCGCTTCTCGTTCCAGAAACGCCTGGTATGCTTTGGGACAGTTGGCTCTACGGTGGCCAACGTCATTGCATTCCCAGCAGGTTTGGCACTCTTTGCCCGGGTGTCTGCCCTCTGATTAGCTGAGAAACGTTGGTTATAGGCCAGCTGTCTTACTCGACTCTTTTGCACATAGGGCATCTTCTGGGTCTGGGAAGGGGAATTATCCCCAAGTCGCCGCTCACCCGAGTCATCAGCTCGCTGATCTCGAGCATACTCGCTAACGCCAACAGCGTCTCCAACCCCGCGCGGTAGCCCTTTGGATAAGGGACTGCGTTCTTGCCTTTGGGGTCAGCACCCCCTTGCTCCATCCACTGAACTATAAACTTTAAGGCATTCCTTTTCGATGGGGGAGGTGGAGGCGGTGGAATCAAGTCAGGCGTGGCCGGTGCATTTCCCGAATCTGGTGCTGATTGCGAGACCGAAGGTGCAGCCGGTGGAGAATTAAGAGGAGGTGCAATGCCCGGGCCTGGCACCGATTGACTGACCAAAGGTGCAGCCGGTGCGGGAGGGGGTGGTGGTGGTATACTTGAGGAAATGGCCGGTGCATTTCCAGAATTTGGTGATGATCGGTCTGCCAAAGGAGCAGCCGGTGGGTCCGGTGGCAAAGTTACAGTAATTATAGCGCAATTCGGATTTTGTAACTCGCGCTTCCAGACCGGAGAGAAGCGCGTTGCCACCGGTCGGTGAACCCTAAGGAAAACCTCCTCTTCAACTTTGATGGATACAAAGTTGGCGTGGTTTCCCCTCAGAAGCCTTGGCACTGTCAGCATCGAGCGGTACCGCCAGGGAAGGAACTAACTCTTGCAGAGCTCTGGGGCTAAGTACAGGTGCTGTACTCATATTTCTATATAGATGTCAGGGTGTGTTACGAAGTTAGTACATACGAAGAAGGACATGGGTATATATACCTGGTACCCGGTGATGGTGATGATGATGGTGATGATGGAAGCAAAGAGACTTGTGAGTTGGCAGATGATGTGTCAACGAAAAGTGTATGCAGAGATGATGAAGAACTGTTTGCGAACTTGTTTGCTAGACTGATGATCTTTTGAATCTTAGAGGAGAAGAAGAACAGGAGCGGGATATGGCATGTTATATAGTAAAACGCCTTGCTGGCAATGATGGCTGCTTAACACTTGCATCCGAGCAATCGAGAAAGGATTTGGCAACTTGATTCGCCTTCCCTCGGTCAGAACGCCATCAACCAAGGGAATCTTTCTCTTCTCCGATCACAAGTCTCATTCTAAATGGATCATCGCTGCAAAGTTGCATCAACGTGAGGGGGGGTTTGAGACGGGGAGGCTCGTGCACGAAGTGCTGGCGATTCGCTTTCATCCCGGACGAACATCGCCAGCCAGTGATCATCTGCTCCTTCCCTGAACGGCAGCCTTACTTTGGATAAGCACTGCAAAGTGTTATGCGTGAAGATCAGGTACTTTGTATCTAAATGCTCCACAGATCGAGCCTACCCTGTGCAGGCTGGGCAGGGACTTACTTCGCATCCGCTGAAACAATATCAGCCAGTAACGATCTGCCACTTCTCCGCTTACCACATTTATTTCCGTATACTCGCCGCCAAATAGCCTGCATGAAGGCATCATTGGAACCTAGAAGCTGAACGCGTTGGTTGCCGATCATGCTAAAATTTCTGCTCTTGCAGGACGAGCGTAGGTTTAGCTTTCGTCCGAACCGGCATATACCAGCCAGTTAGAACACTGGCCACTCCTTATCGCCAGCCTCCCCCAGGATAATTGCTGCAGAAAATGGTGCATAGACCTCAGGTACCTCGGTTACGGCTCGACAGATCGACAGCTAATTTATGCAGCTTCCAGGATGAATGCAAGTAATTCGATTTGCATCGCTCGGAACAGACCAGCCAATGGAGTCCGTGGCTTTGCATTTTGGCCTCATGTTGATATAGTTCCTTTGTTGAACGGCTTGCATGAAAAAAGTAGCGTGTTTAGCGTCAATAAATCTCCGGATTTCCAACGCTAAGAGCCTAAGGTACGGTACGCGCTCGGCTGCGGGCTTTCCCTTAGTGCTCCATCTAGGTACTTTAGTGACTTGAAGCTCTAAGCCGACACCATCATCTTGGCTCGAGATGCTGCATTTCGTATGAGCGATTTAAAGACCAAGTCGCTCTGCCCTCATGCATCTCCTCGGATACAGCAATCTATTTTCATTGCCAAGCGATCTGAGCTCGACGTAAATTTTGCCAGCGGTAGTTGTTTCTGGTCAAGCCTGGAAGTACCGGAAAAGGAAGGTCTCAATTGTGTTAACGTTGCCACCGCTAGGTAAGAATCAACTCACCTGCGAGTGCCCGCATTCCTGATGGCAGGCAGTCCACTCGTCGCGCCTTGAGGAGCCAAGCCACCTCATCTTGAAGCAAACCCCGCAGCTAATCGTTAAAGTCATGCTTGACAAAGTGGAGAAGGCAGTTCTTCAATTCGATGATGCTATCGCCGATAGGTAGAACGCAGGTCACTTGGCCTTGGTGCATATCTCGGATGCAACATGAGAGGAAATCCACTCCTTCATCCTTTTTGATGCTACTTTTCTGACCTCCCGCACAAGCATTTCCAGTCATTGTGTTAATTCAAGGTTTTCAGTCCACGGAGGAGAGAGATCGACACTCTGATAATCTTGAAGTCGGTAGATAGCAACCAAGTCAATTGGCTCTCGTGCATATGATCCGAAGCACCAGGGTAAGCAATCCTTCAGCTGATCCTTTTAATGTTAAGCTACTACCTACTGTTGACGCATACCCCGCAGTGATGATCATTTCAGAATAAGGCTTACCATCAGGGAATCGAATGGATCCTACTGGTTGATGAGCTTATGGCCGAGAGAATGCGGATCATCTGCTCGTCCACCTTCTACCAAGGGAACCGCTCATACCGTTGAGCCTTTGGACACCAATTTACCCGACCCTCATGCAAGCCAATCTTCAGGCATGACTATTGGAGAACGAGGCTTGCAGCGATGAGAAGCGACAGACTCCATTAGCTGGTAGTTTCCGGCCGATGGAAGGCGATTCACCTACGCGACTTGCATATTCTATGGGAATAGCATCGGAAATGTTGAGGATTACCGGTACCACTCCGCTCAATGCTAGGCAAGCTCTTGCGTCGTAGCCACAAAAATACAGTCTCCTTCGAGATTGTTAGACAACACATCTGTTCCATGAGGAGGGCTCTCACCTTATTTCTGCCCCAATCTGGCGGCAACCGCTCGCAAAAACGGCCATAAAACTCGTCCACGTTGAGTTTCCAAGCACTGCACAGGCGACATTCTCCGGCAACAAGCCCCTCAAATAGTCCATTGACTACTCCATTAGCAAACAAATAAGCAATATCTTCCGGCAGCAGCCCCTTCGAATAATCTATCGACTACTCTCTCAGCGAATTTATAAACAATATCTTTAGACGATAACTCCCTCAGAAACTTCATCGGCTACTCCTTTAGTATTATATTAATAATAGTTTTAGACAATAAACCCCTTAAATAGTCTATTAACAATACTCTTAGCAAATAAATAAGCAATATCTTCTAGTAGTAGCCCCTTCGAATAATTCATCGGCTACTCTATTAGCGAATTTATAAGTAATATCTTTAGGCGATAACTTCATTAGAAACTTTATCGGCTACTCCTTTAGTATTATATTGATAATAATTTTAGATAGTAAACCCCTTAAATAGTTCGCAATAGTGGGACTATGGATTAGTGAGTTCATTATGAGGCCATAGCGTTAGTAACTTTTGATCAGCCGTTCTATTACTATGCGATATTCGATATGCGATATACGGGAGATAGGGGGATATAGCGAGTACTATTTATATAGCCGCTACATCTATAGTAGGCTCTTTATTCGAATTATTCTCCTTTAGAGCTATATTATTATTATTCTTCTTTTCGTAGTTAAGTCTATATATATTAACCTTTATTTAACTATTATAAGCACTATTTAACTATTATAAATATACTTTATACTCTTATATACTTTATAATAACTCTCGCTACTACTATTAGATTTAAAAAAGCGGTTATATAAGTTATATCTATCTTTAAAGTTATTAAAAAGACCTTTAACGTCGCTAATAAAGTCCTTAAGACCTCTAAGGCTAAAAAGGCTATTAAGATTAAAATATCTCCCCCTTACGACGAGATTCTTATATTCGAAATGCTATCGAGGATTATTACCCTAAATGAGATCGACGAAACGCTCTCGCCTATTAAGAGGTTTAAAGTAGACCTTACGAAATTAATAGTCTAGTTATCTAAGGTTTAAGAGAAGTAAAATTATTACTATTATTATAAGAATTAAGTTTATTATAAGAGTTAAGTTTATAAGTTACGTCGTTACTATCGTTACTATAATTATAATTATCGTTATTATTACTCGAATATATCGAATTTAAACTTATTTAATTTTAAGTCGAATTAAAAGAAAAGAAGAGAGATTCTCTTTCGTTATATAAAAGATAAGAAACTCTTTTTTAATATTATTAAAAGATTTTAAAGTGTAAATATCAAATACTTTAAGTAAATCTTCTTCGAGATCTTTAAGATTAAAAATTTCGCTAAATTAGTTTATATATATACTATCTTAGCTAAGAAGAATAAGAATATTAATAATTATAATTATATAATATACTACTTTTATATATACTCGATAGTCGCTAATCGCTTTATATATATTAGCGTAAAGAAAGACTTAAATAAGATTTTATATATATATATTATTCGTTTATTACGGCTATCTATTATCTATAGATTTAACTTTATCCTCGCTTATTATCTCGTTTTTATTATTATATATATTTAGAATAGTTAAGATAACTCTAAGATCTAGAAAATAAATAATTAGAGCTATAAAGATTTTTTTATATTTAAAGAAATTTATATAAGTAATAATAAGCTAAATATCGCTATATCTAGCTTTAATAAGTCTATTATTATTAAAGAAATTAGAATTTATAAAAATTTTAATAGAGGTAGCTATTTTCGCGAGCGCTGTATTTATTTATATATCTATATAATCTATTAGTAAAATTATTCGATAAATAAGTATTCTAAAGTCTTAAATTTAGTTATAAATAGCTTTAATTATTTATTATTAGATAATCGTATTATTAAGATAGAATAATTTTTAGAGTACTTATAGATGTCTTAGTCGCTATAGTATATATCTAAGAAGTTTTTATACGCGCTATATAACCTACTAGACCTGAATTTACTTTATTAAGAATCGTTAATAGTTAATAGTTAATTTAAATAGTTAAATAATTATCTGAATCTAATATTTATTAAGACTATTTTAACTATTCTTCGAAAAAGCGTTAAGATAAATTTTTAAGATTATATTCTAGTTTATCGTAATTAAAATTATCTATTAGCACGTTAAGTACTCTAAATACTATCGATAAACCTTTAAAAATAGCTTTAATAGTATTATTTAATTGAGGTTAACTCTTAGAATAAGCCTTATTACATCTATTCGCTACTCGATTTAATATTAAAATATAATAGAGATTAGAGATAAATTTATAATCTCTTATTTTTATATAGCTACTTAGTTAATAACGATATCTAGATAAAGTAGAGTATATTAAAATATATTATATATAATAACGTAGTAGTAGTATTACTATAGAAAGATTTAAGGGTTTAATTCGTTAAAAGAGATCTTAAAGACGTCTTTAGATATATATTCGTCGCTATATCAAATTAATAACTACTTAATTTTAATTGCGATAAACGCTATTAAAA